TATATATATAAAAATAAAAATCCCATGCATAAGGGCATACAAATTAGGCATACGCAATAAAAGTTTTAGCGAAGGAACTACTACTAAAGAAAATGGGTCGAAAAACTAAACTTAAAAATCTGTTTGATTGTCTGAGAAAAAGGAGTTTATTAGGAACACGCCCATATTTTATCAGGTAATGAAACTATGAAGTTCCACGTTTCAAAGTAGTAAATTTTTAGATTACAAAGAATGTTTTTATTCCTCATTTAAATTTGTCGATGATAATAAAATATATTTTTAAAAATCAACACGGAATACTCTGTACATAAGAAGCACTTAAAACAAAATTATTTTCACTGAAAACTGTTAGAAAATGTTTGAAATTAAGGTTCAGGTTTAGTCATAAATAATATTAAGAATGTCTCCTTTTTTTAGGGCGTGGTCATGTTCTCAACGTAATACCAGTTATTTTAAAAGCGTAATTTTGTATAAATAGTCTGTAGGTAATAGTAAATAACAGTTTATTTGATGCTTTGGCCACTGTGTTCAGGATTAAAATAAATGTATTAAAAAAATTCTGTAGGTGAGAAGTAATTTTCGAATGAATTAAAAAGAATTATAATTATTTAAGAACTTTAAATAGTTGTATTTTCATTAAAATTTTTCACTGAATTGTCTTCAACTAAATGCTTTTTGTTATTTATCAAGCTAATCAAGTTTCGATAAAACTACAATTGATACATTGACTTTGTAATGTCATACGTTAAAAATAAATACAAATAGGAAGTGTAGAAAAAAATCTCCGGAATAAAAACCCATTACATGAACGTTTAAATATAAAAATATCGCCTATAAACTCTTGCAAAACATGTCATTATTAAAAAACTACGGTGCGTCTAATAGTTTGGTCTAATTATCATAATATACTAATATAATACCTGATATAATAAATATTCTATTTTTATATAATATACCGTCTAATTTATCCAATCGTCGAATTTATGTCATATATCGTCTAATTTAACCAATTGATATACGAACGTAAATAAGTGCAAACCGGTTTCAGTCGCGTAAAAACAATAAAGCTGTCTAGTATCACGTGATAAAGATTTTACATAGAATCTTATAGTGCGTCTAATAATTTATCCAGGTCAAAATTTTCGAAAAAAATAGTTTAAAATGTTACCTTAGTGGTGCTTCCAGTTTGTCGCTGCCTTCTAGAACGTTGACGTTAGCTTCCACCATATCGGGAGGTTGAATATAGTATTTACCATAGAAGAGAAAAGGTCCGTTGTCGATGGAGACTGAGAGATCGACATATCCGTGGTACATGACGGGAGGAGATATGCAGCTCACGTGATTCTCATCTCTGTAGATGCCATCAGTTTCCAGTGTGTCGAATTTGCAGCGAATAATGCTTCTCGGATCGAAGAAACAAGGTCCGGTCAGATTAACCATCGTACCACCCAGCATGCTTCCGTAACGAGGAAAGAAGGTCAGCTTCGGTCTTGTAGGCCAATTAATATCAAGGTATCTCTCGATGCAGCATCCTGGCCAGATCTCTTCATCTATCTGGAAGAAGAATCTTCCCCTGAGGCCATTACCGAATCCGAGAGAAGGCAGACGACTCACTCTTGGCTGTTGAGAATAGGGTTCGAACTCGTAAGCTCTGGTTCGATTACCGGCGTTGAATCCTATGAATGGGGGAATACCTTTCTGTCCGTCGTAATTGTCTTTGTCGGAAATCCAACCGATGGTGTCGTAGTTGAACATGGCGTAAGTCCTCTTCTCGTCTGTTGCGATCACCACTTGGTAGGAGTTGGTCTTCAGTGTGCTTCCGGGGTAGGCATTGGCGTGCGTGAGGTTCCTCCAAGTCACAATCATGGCGTAGGTCGGCTCAAAATCTGCAGCTCCAATCATGCCATCTCTGAAATCCATTCGAATCCTCTCCCTCAGCGAATCGTTCGATTCTTTGGCCATGATGACCATCTGAGAATACACCCCAGCATTGTCAATGGAGTTTGGAATGTCCTGGTAACTGAACCAGGGGGCTATCATGGAAGGGTCCTCTTCCCTCGTCGGATCCCGGATGTAAGGGGTGGGGAACTTGATGGGGTAGTCGTACGACAGGAGACCTTTGTTGAAAAGAAGGTACCCATCTCTGTGTATCCAAATGTACCTGAAGTCGAAACCAAAGAACGGAAGACGGAACGGAAGTGGGGTGTCCCGAATGGCTTGACCTCTGTTGATGGTGTCGACTAAAAATTCTCTAGAATGAGGATACAGAAGTTCAGAACGAAATCTCCTCATGTCGACATAAGTAGGAGCTTTCAAGGGAACGGTTTCTCGCTGTTTGGGTAGGGCAACATTTTGAAATAAAGCGCTTTGTAGAAAAGATGCAAAAACGAATATCCAAAGCAGCTGCGCCATTTTTTTTCCTTTCAAGAAAAAAAAGGCACTGCGTTAAAAAGATTATGTTCTTTAGTTCAACACCCAAATGATATACTTCGAACTCAGGTAAGTGCGTTATCACCTTCCCTAAAGTAGATAAAAACATCTACAACGCGCAACGGAAGAAAAGAAATGATTGGGTAATGTTATTTCAAGCATAACTTAGATAAGGAGGCCTCTCTTATCAGAAATGATGGTTTCTCATTTGGAGATTATTTTTTAAAGTAAATGAAATGACTCAACTGGTATAAATTCTCGGTAGAAAACATTTCTTGTTATGGGAACATCCGTAAAAATATTTTATGTCGTAGATTTTATTGTAAAATTCTAATGCTGAATTTAACTTACTTGCAAGATAAGAGCTATAAAATGTTTTGTTTGTACTATCGCACTAATTTTCCGACTTGATAGATCGCTAAAATTTCGATGCCATTAAAAGTCATAAATAATGTAAGCATGATTAATCGCCAATTGAAATTTCAACCACTTTCTAACTTAAACAAATAAACAAACACCACATTAACAAAATTAATAATTTTCTTTAAAAATAATATTTGTTGATTAAATAGGAAAAAATAATTTGATTTTCTTCCTATTTGAATCGAACAATTTATCAGTTTAACTACAAATATGATAATTACAACTGTAGGACTGCAACTTCAATCACCTCCCATCTCCACGTTTTCCGTTCTGTCAGAAATTAACAAAATTCATATTTTATTTACAAAACTTAGCTTTTTCAAATTGTTATTTTTTATCTACATTTATTTTTAGAATGAATCATTTTAGAGAAACGTTGCTCTAAATTTCTGTCTAATAAAAAACTTTCCTTACTTCCTGAGGAAGTTTATAAAGATATCTTCAGATTTTCAGAGGCAGACACTTACTGCAGCCATCAGTTAAAGGAAAAAATGAATATTTAAACTGAATGTGCAACGAAATACATTTTTCTATGCTGCAGTAGCTAGATGGATTTTTTCAGCTACAATTTGTACTACATATTTTACATGACGACAATGAGTGTAAATTTAAGCTCGCTAAAATATCTGCTGACATCAAATTAATATTTTGATTTTATACAATCTGAATTATACCACGCATTAACATACACCCTATAGGCCCTTCGCCATCAGGCTAACCGTGGGAGGTTCTAGTATTCTTCCTCTCCAAGTAACGCAAATGCGGGTTAACTCCATCAAAGAGTCCTCCACGAAGGCAAATTTTTCTCAATATTCGATCCAGGAGTTCCCTTGTCTTCTGGAATGGGTTCAAAATTGCAAGACTACTTAGTTGAACAGTAGTAGTCGTAAATCCATAAAATTGGGTCGGCTGTTCAACGACGGTTATGAAATGAAAATATAAAATACACCATATATAGGTGCTGTGATACAGCACCTGTCAGTCGTAACCTTTTACAAAAGAAATAACGCAAAATTCTACAAAAACTAATTCACCATTTTTATTATTCTTTTTTCATCCATTGTTCAAAAAAAAACCAAAACAATGATCATATCTATAATATCAAGCTTTTAGCTCGCAACATCAGAAAATGCGTGTTATTACATCACGTGACCCTGACAGCACCCATTTTAAAATATAAACTTTTTTTATTTGTTTTAGGTTCATATATTCATATTCACTTTTTGAAAGACGAAACTGGTAAAGTTATATGCCAAAAGTACAACAAAAAGAGAGAGTTAGCATATTTTTTTTCGAATTAAAAGAAAAAGTATTCACTCTTTGCCAGTATGAATTGGTAAAGTTATACGTCAAAAGCGCATCAAAAGGAGAACTATCGTTGGCGTATTTGTTCAAATTTGAAAAAAGAAAAAATTTTATTTAATAATTTCGTTTAATTTAATTTCATAATTTCGTTTAGCCATTTTACTTAATCGTGTTCATTTACTTTTCAATGATTTCAGTTTAATCCTTTATTGATTTTTCTTTTCTTTTTTTGTACACTTTATCTTTTTAATAGTTGATTTTATATGTGCATTCGTTGTATTTATGCATTTAATAAATGTTTTCAATGGTGCTAAGCTTTGATTTGTTTGTTTCTAGGTACAATGATTTGGCTTGTTTTGGCTGTTCTATCCATGACGGAGAATGGAGATGCCATAGAGTTCGAGCCCTTCTTTCCGCACGATACATTCTTCTCTGCCGAAGATCCCTTTAGATTCCTTCCCCCGAGCTACAAGCTGGATTCAACCCTCTCCCTCAGGCAAGATTTCAATGGTAATCTCACAAATAATGTTAATTCAATTTTACATATCGATACATTAATGATGAAGCGTGTTAAAAAATATTAGTATTCGTTTCCCAAGTTTTTCACACTGGGAACACATCAATCAACTAGATTAGGTATTCTAATCCTCTTAAGGCCTAGTTTCTTAGGACAGGACGCCGTCAGCTGGAAATCAGCGCTAACCTCTGATTGGTCCATTTGTGAGTTTGATAGTATACGTCATCGAACGCTCATCTTGAACTACAATTGCCGTTTAACTCAACTGCAGTTGGATTACAACGTGACGTTAACCACAGAAGCAATGGCGGACAACATCCAACAGCACATTGAAATCAGCCAAGATTTTGACATTAAACATAGCTTCTTCATTAAACATAGCACTCTTCATTTAGCTGAGCTATAATGTGTTTTTTCTTGGACAAAGTCATTATTTGTTCTCTAAAACACTGGTCGACAAAAACAAAATCAATACTAATTCAAAATAAATATTTGTTTACGTTATTAACGCATGCTCAATGAGTGATTATGTCTGCGTTGGACCGACTGCTTACGCTGAGCTAACAAAAAAGTATTTTTTTGGCGTCAGCTCTACGTCAACTTTCCGCTGACGCCCAGATAAGGTGCTTGTCCGAAGAAACCAGACCTTTAGAGAGCACTTTTTACACATATTTTATAACATTTCCTGTCAAATAAGCAATCATCAATTTCGGAGCTGATCCAAAAGTCATAGGAACTGCAATCGTTGCAGGCACGCCCACAATACCCAGTTAGCAAAACAAAATTTATTTTCGTTCAGCAAAAACCTTTTAATGCAAATCTAAAAAGGTTCGTAATGCGGTTTACGTGTAAATCTTCTAACCGTAAAACTAGATCTGTGACCATATGCTCTATTCTACGCACATTTCCCTAATCCAAACCCTTGGAAAACAACTTTCTACATAAAAACCTTAAATCGAGGTTGGATAAGGGTTTTCAAGAGTGAAGAAATCCTTTAATAAAGCTGGTCTCAAGGTGAAAATAATCTTAAATCTAGGTAATCATAAGGTTTCTTTTCGCGAAGTCTTGTATGCTCAGCTAAAATCCACCTTCTCTTGAAATTTTAATGGACAATGCAATTTGATCCTATCGCTAGTGTGACGTCAGCTAATACGTCATTGTGGACCTTAAGTGACAATACTTTTTGAAAAAGCTTTAAAAAATAGCTTTTTAATCGTTTTAGGATGAAAGGTTTGAAACTGCAATATTTTTGCTTTATTGAAAAAAGGTTTTTTAGTACATTTGATTCTTTTCAAATGAATGTTTTGGAATACTTTAACAAGTATCTTTTCCAATTTTTTTAATTTTTTATTTCCAATCAATTGATACCAATTAAAACTTTTTACCCATTGATAAAATGGGTCTTGTTTTTTGGGTTTTATGGCTTTAATTGGACGTCCACACATTTTTCAACTGTGTTCAAGAGTAATAGTAAACAGTGAGCATGCGTTGCTATGGCGTGAGCATGCGTTGCTATGGTGNCGCCAACTCTTCACAAGCATGCCTGCCAACTTTTACGCATTTGGCGTAAAATTTTATTTCTAGAATTAAAGTGGTAGTAAAATGTATGCTTGCTATATATTTTTTACATTTATAAACTTAATTTATAATCTTTTTGATCCACCACTATTTTTAAAGAAATTAAGCATATATATTTTTATGTAATACTGTTGCAGTAATCCGCACAAGCTTGCGCAAAATGCAACGTTTGTGTCTGCTTAAAATTGCAATTTAATTTCCATATTACTACCACTGGAGAAAATCATCCTCGAATGGATAGAAAGTTGGCAGGTATGCTAGTGTGACGTCAGTTAAAACATCATTGTGGACCTTAAGTGACAATACTTTTTGAAAAAGCTTTAAAAAATAGTTTTGAATCCTTTTAGGATGAAAGGTCTGAAACTGCAATATTTTTGCTTTATTGAAAAAAGTTTTTTAGTACAAGAATTTTCGCGACAATAGAAAGAGAATCCCATTGTACAAAGTTGCCATAAGGTTATATGCTTTCTCGGTGAAACCGCTTGTATAAGCAGTAGGCAAGTTTTATTCTCCCTGAAAAGAGCAATTGCGAAATACACACACACCCATATATTCCCAGCTTTCCGTCGAAATTAACCGCAGATAATGATTGCAAATGATAGAGTAATTACTTCTGTGTGAAAATGGATGGGGATTTTTTTCCTCTTCACGTAAAACTTGACTAAACTTACGATAATTCTTACAAAAAGTTTTCACATTTGATTCTTTTCAAATGAATGTTTTGGAATACTTTAACAAGTATCTTTTCCAATTTTTTTAATTTTTTATTTCCAATCAATTGATACCAATTAAAACTTTTTACCCATTGATAAAATGGGTCTTGTTTTTTGGGTTTTATGGCTTTAATTGGACGTCCACACATTTTTCAACTGTGTTCAAGAGTAATAGTAAACAGTGAGCATGCGTTGCTATGGCGACCGCTGCTGTTTGATAATTCTTTTTTCTTTTCACCAGCAGTCATTCTTAACGTATTTACATAATAATATTTTAAAGTATTTTTATATTCTTGTATTATTAACTTATTACTGTCTTGACGGTGATTTTAATATAAATATGAATACTGAAAAAGGAAGGTGACGTCTCGAAACACTTACATAAGCAGGATATGACAATCAATCAGACGACAAACATCAATGGAGACAGTTTTTGCAACCTATGATTTGAAATGTTGTAGCGTTTATCGGAGTCGAACCAGAAAGAAAAAGCATTTGACCAATGAGTAACCAGTGATCATAATAAAGCGATCAAATTTTTTTTTATTTAGTTTTTTTTTAATATTTATTTTTAGTTTCTTTATCGAATTTTTTAGGAATTAGCTAATAATGCTGCAAAAATCCTTTAGTTCTAAACCAGTTAATTGACTTTAGAGCGCAAATAAATCCTTGAATAATATCAACTAAGTTACTTAACCCTTCCGCGGATTCATGAAAAGGCAAATGGATTATTTCATTCGAATTAAATTTCTTTTGTTTTCAAATCTAACAGACAACTTATTAAATAACGAATCTTGTAAATCATTATGTCTGCGGCAGAACGTAGTGCAGTACATAGTCTGCTGCAGGTTAAGTTTCGAGGTCAAGGTTTATGTTAATTGACCAAGTTCCACTTAACGAAGACTGATAATTTGTTATTCGAAGGATTTACGTTTTCAAGTTGCGATTTAAAATTATTTTCGTTTCTTGTATTGATGTGCTCAGCAAATTTGGTTATTTCTGCCAAAACATTCTGCTTTTGGCGAGATTTAAAAATTATCTACATTATTTTAAATTGATATCGTTTGTTTACTAGATATTTAATATAATTTACAGACTTATCTTTAGTGTTTCTACTTTTTTTTCCAATTCCAACACTGAATAATTTTTTATTGTATTGAAATCAGCATCTTATTCATTTTTTAACTCTAGTCTGACGATTTTTTTTTCTTCCAAAGTTTCGAATTCGTTTGGCATTGTATGAAGCCATTTCAATGACTAGAAATTGAGACTTTTTTTTGTGATTAAAGGTAGTAACCTAATCCTTTAAAAGAGAGATCGGAAATTGCGAAACTACTATAACTGCTACTTTTTATTTTATGATTGATTCTCTTTTTGTGCTAGAAAAACTGAATTGACCTAACGCATAAGACAAAACGAAACTTGATTGCAGTCTTTTTACAGCATTCCAATTTGTAAGAGTCGTTTTTATAAAATCCATATTCATTTTAAGCAACAAATTTTTTTTAAATCTTATGTATTTGCAGTTTTGTTACGTTAAAGTAATTAAAGTTTTTACTATAATAATCATTAACTCGGGTCTCAGAAAAATGAAATGAAGGTTCTGTTATTCTTTACAGCTCCATATGCATCCGAAAGTGCAGACTTACCATTGTACACAGACGGGAAAGCAACCCTTCCCCAAAAAACGTTGTCGAAACTTGAGAGGGACTACAAAACTCAACTACATAAGGTGGCCAGTGCCAATGCCGATCCTGGATTATACGGCCGAAACGGAAGGACTCGTACATTTTCAGATTATTCTTTCCCCTCTACTCAGAGCGAAAGTCGATTCAATAGTGAAAGTTTCAAGAGGGAGCCAACGTCCAAAAATGTTGAAATTCAGAGAGGATTCGTTCCAATACTCGGTAAAAGGTAAGTGTTAAGAACCTGTAACTGTTTAACCCAGTTCACATGAAAGATTTTAAAATGAATGTAAAGTCAAGCTAAAAAAATATGCCTCGAGACGAGCATAATGAGGATGATTTTCAGTGATAGCTCCTTTTGTTCGTGTCAAAGTACTTTTTTTAATTTAATAACCGTTGTCAAACACCCGACCCAATTTTCGAGTTCACGACTACTAGCGTTTAACTCCGTAGCCATGTAATTTTGAACCCATTCCAGAAGACACTCCTGGATTAAGTATTGGGAGAAATTTGCTTTCGTGGAATACCTTTAGATGGAACTGACCCGCATTTGCGTTACAAGGAAAGGAAAACCACGAAAATCGCCCATGGTTAGTCTGATGGCAAAGGGACTCTAACCCATGATCCGTCTACCACTGAGGATATTTTTATGTCCACACTGTGGTCGGTGCGATACGGGTGCGGAATTCGTGTCGACCAGCCACTGCTGGGGTCGAACCGGGATAACCTTATTGGGAGGCGAGAGCTCTATCCCCTGAGCCACCACGGCTCTCTTGTCAAAGTACTGTAGTGATATCATGAGCCTATTCATCATCAGCAGCAATAGCGAAATTATGGCTTAACCAGGTTTTTGGAGTTGATATATGTACATGACATTTGTGACAGACTATCATATATGAATACATAACTACTTTCCGCCGATGAAAATTTTATTAATGTAATCCACAGTTTTTGAAAAACCTTGATGTTACGAGGTTTAAACCCAGAATTGTGATGGTAAGCGAAACTGGCCTAATATCAATATTAATTGATACTAATGTATGTAATATGCAATAATAAAATAATGTAGCAGCTTGATGTACTTCATTTTAATTGCAATCGTTTTCAATTTATTTATTTTCGTGAAATACTTTAAAAATCGTTTAATACTTTCTTAGAAGTCAATTTTCAATTTTTTTAAAAACTTTATCAAAATACATATTAATTTTGAAATTAAACATTTTTCCAAAAAAATTATCAGCAAAAAAGATATATATTCCGATTATTAAAATTAGAAGTTTAATATTTTTAAAATTGGTAGCATAAGATATTAAAAAAAAATGACAAATCAGAACTTAATACTTCAAAATACTCTTAAATATTAAGCAAAATGTCTATAAAAAGTTAATGAGCTGATTAACCATAACTCTTCTAGCGAAAATAATATGCTAGTTCTGCTCAAAAATGAGCATTTATTGATTTGAATGTCAATTATCTTGGTATAATAAATCAACAATTTTCAGAATTTCCTTTTCGAAAAATCGGGTATATTCTCAGAAATTAACCCTGTTTTTTTTTCCACTCATAGCATTTCTAACAACTGCGAGTTGATTTATAATAAAAGCTTTCATCTTACCACGAGTTTTCGTTCACTTTAAGAGTTCGCACATGCAAACTGGTTACAGTCATTTACCCGCAAACGACAATACACTCATTTTACCAAAATTTAGAAACCTAAAAAGTGACGCTGCTCACTACTGTACTTCTGATGCCATCAAGCGACTCCATTTTTAAATTGGACTACCCTTGTATGTTATCTTTGTGCTCAAAACTCCCTAAAAAGCAATAATTGTCTGCCTTTTTTGTGATTTTCCAGTAAGCTAAAATCTTGAAAATACTGTATCAAGAAAAAAAAGGCACACAATTTTCAATGCAGCGCAGTGAAAAAATGCTTTTTTTGAAAAAAATGCCTTTGTAGTGTATCTACCACTACAAACAATACATTTCCAATACCCTAGTATATAAGACATGTTAACTCGATTCTATGTTGGAGTGCCTTTTCATAGATGAAGGTTGACATTGTCGATAACTACTCTCCTCACATTGGTGACCTTCGGACGTGATGTGAACATGCCTACCTTGACAGAAACTCCAACTTCGAATTGAACACGCCTAGCTTGGCAGGAGCGCCCACTACAATGTGAACGTGTCTACTTCGATGGATGATCCAGATTGAACAGATGACTTGCTACTTGTGACTGCGACATTATTCATCTCCTTGCGCTGTTGCTACTCAAACTTAATACAGCTTTCACAATCACCAAAAGTACGGTGATCGTAATACAGCTCTCCCGGCTTCTCACAAAACAGCAATGCATCAACTAGTGGTATCCCGTTAATAGAATTCTATCACAGATAAAATTCTGGTGGGGAAGTACTGTAGTGTATCTACCACTTCAAAAATAAAATTACAATTCACTAGTATATAACACATTTTAACTCGACTCTACGATGGGGTACCTTTTCATAGATAAAGGTTGACATTGTCGATAACTGCTAACCCTACACCTTTTAATTGCCTTGTTCCTATTTGTTCTGACCAATACACACTTCTTCTAATTTCAGAAGTCCATCAAGCACCGTTCTCAAAGATTTAGAGCCACCTATTCTGACAGCTTCTTCCTCATTTAATCCCCAACGTTTTAAAGCATCCTCTTCAAGAGTCCATCCCGACAACTCCTCATTGACTTCCTCCCCTACACCAGGAAGTGACTCCCGTAAACTAGATTTTGGAAGAGATGCTAGAGTTCTGGCTATTAGCACTAGCTCCAGTGAAAGGTAAGAGCCTGCTCCTTATAGTGCAAAATTCATGGAAACGTTGAGACATTGTCTGGCACTGAACTGGCTTTTATGGATTTTGCGTGTATAACTTACTCATCAGATTGTTTTCTTATGTAAAAGCAAAGCATTCCCACAGTGTGTTCTAGTGAATTATAATGTAAAAGAATTACTAAGAAAAGCTTGAGTATATTTCAATTTTTGTTTTCATTTCATTTCAATTTAAAGTTCCAACAAACAATTTTTCAGAGAAAAAACAATTTAAAAAACTGCCTCTAGGTTCGGGAAGAATTAGGCACTATTCCTTATTCCATGAAATTCTTTTTTTTATTCTTCAAAGAATTTTCAGTAAAAAGCAGTAAACGAGGAATTTTATCGAAAAAGATTTTTCTGCATTATTTTAAAAGATCATCATAAATCTATACAATTGTATGAAGGAGGGAAAAAGAAATTTTCAATTATTTAAATGTATTTGAAAAATATTGGTTTCATTTCTGGAAGAAAAAAAAGGTTTGTTTGCTTTCAAATAAAGAGAATAAATTGTATCCTGCATGATCGACGAAGTGATTTTAAGAAATATTAACATACCTTTTTTTTATCATTTTAAGCATAAATTTACTTAAACTCAAGAATGAGGCAGTTTAATTGGGTCATCTTTTAATTTTGATGGATCGCAGCAACGCCATACACAGTGAATTGTAAGACACAATAGATCACCAATTGTAAGCGAGACTTTTTTTTTAAATTTGAGCCGTGATGACTCAGGGGGTACAGCGCTCGCCTTCCAATTAGGTGATACTGGTTCGAATCCCAGCGATGGCTGGTCGATACAGATGCCGCATCCGGCTTGCACCGACCGCAGTGCTGACTTAAAATATCCTCAGTGGTAGGCGGATCATGGGGTAGAGTCCCTTTGATGCCAGGCTAACCATAGGAGGTTCTTGTGGTCTTCCTCTCCATGTAACGCAAATGCGGATTAATTCCATCAAAAAAGTCCTCCAAGAAGGCAAGTTTCTCCATATACTTGATCCAGGAGTTCCCTTGTCTTCTGGATTGGGTTAAAAACTACAAGGCAGTGGAGTTGAACATAAGTAGTCGTAAACCCAAACAATTGTGTCGGCTGTTCAACGACGGTTATGAAATATTAAAAAAATTATGAAAATTGCGCAGCTCTAGTGCGACGTATATAAAGTATTAATACTGACACAATAAAAAATATGATACATAGTTAGTGATCATGCTTTCTTTAAAACGGCACTGTACTTTTTATTTGTGTTGCGCTAGAGATGCACAGTGAGCTATTGACTACAGCCTGGGAAACATTCCTGAGAATGATCTGATGACGCTATGCATACGCTATGACGCTATGCATTTTACAACGAGAACACATTCCCTCCCCATCCATCCATCCGCAGATCGTAATTTTGATTTGGATTAGAGCATGATCAATCTCTAATCCAGATTTGTTATGGTAACTTCGAGGACTTTGTTGCTCCACTAAGAACATCAATCACCATTTTGTATACTGCGGGGATCGAACTTACCCCATCTCATACATGAACCCAACACCCAAGCAGCCAGGCTTCATTTCTTGAATATAGAAACGGGGCAGAACGGTAATACTTAAAAAAAAATAGACAGGAAATGTTATTTCTCAATAAATATTTTTATTAGTTAAAAATGTCCATCATAACTTTATTTGTGGGGATTGATTTGTTAACAAATTTATATTATCAATTAATCGGCATTATATTTCTTAGAGTGGTAAAGGCACTGATTTTTAAGTTTTAAGGTTGGCGGTTTGAGGCCTATTCAGGTTCAAATCAATACGTACCAGTTTGACTGGAAATTGATCAGTGCACAATTCAGGTGATCACGAAATTTTGGAGTCTAAATCCCCTGTTTAACAACGAAATTTTGCTGGCATACCTTGCTTATGTATTTCTTAATACTGTTTCAACTACATTTTGAACTCTAAATCTGTTATCTTATGTTCCATTTATATGTCGTTTTATCCTCGCAACTGTAATTGGATAACATCATCTGTAATAATAATAAATATTATGTGAAAACGTTTTCATGGGAAACATCATCTAAACGATGGGTCATATGGACGAGCTTCGGATAATTGAGGTTTTACGTATAGCTATTGTGATGTGTATTTAAATCATTTTGCAGCAGCGGTGTTTCAAAGAATACATACATCGCTACATACTAGTTTGATTCCTCACGATGACGCGTCGATACGAATTCTGCTCCCGGCTCACTCTCTGACGTAAAATATCTTCAGTGGTGCATAGACGATGGGCTAGAATCCCCTTGTCGTTGCGGTACCCGTGAGTGGTTTTCTTTTTCATGCAACGCAGTTTCATCGAAAGTCCTCCATGAAGGCTAGTTTGTCCCAATTCTTGATCCAAAAGTTCCCTTGTCTTTTGGGTGGGGTTCAAAATTACAGTTAAACATTGATACGCCATCTGGGAAGATGACCGGCTCCATGGCTTGACCCCCCCCCCTTCCATAGGAATGTACTATGATATTTTCCCCTTTCTTAATATTTTTCGTATTTAATTGTCACAAATATTTTTTTTAAATTTGCACAACGCTTTCGTCTAGAACTATGTTCAATGTAGTTTTCAGTTCTTTATTATTCTAAGTTTTTATTTATTTAAGAATCAAGATAGAAACAAACGTACTTCCTCCGTCTACGACTCTCCACACGCTAATGGTAAAATCATGCGAAGTGTTGCCATAGGAAGAGAGTTCTGTAACACGCCACATGTAGTCCATTTCGATCGCCAATAGTTGCATGGATATGTAACAAAATTATTCATAAAAAAATAATAACTATCCTATATTTGCAGCGTTATTTCAAGCGTCGTTCCGAATGGAGTGAATGAAGACGATAAAGCGACAGCAAAAAAGACGCTGGAAATAAATTGCAATGGAAGCCGGGATCTTGGATGGTGCGAACTCGATGGTAAATACCCCAGGTAAATATTCATTTCCTTTAATGTGCACATTATCTAGCAGATTAACTAGGATGATCCCTTAACCCCCTTGCCAGTGTCGCCCGAATCCAGTTCGGGCCACATGAACTGACTTCGGGCAGGAAAAAAAAATAACACTATTTTGCGAATCCCGAGCTGGGTTCGTTTCCACTTTAGGATACTTAACTCACTATTTTCTTAATAGGTGGCATTAGTGGTCCTTGTTTTTCACCGATTACGACTTCAGTCGAGGGAAGGAAATGTGGGTGGAGGTTTTGGGACATACCCAGAGCCGGATTATACCTTTCGTTGGCCCTAGGCATAGCCGTTTTTGGACCCTCCCCTCCTCCCCTTTTTTCAAAATATATGCTAAAATTTTCTTGCATATTTTTTTAACATTTTTATTAATATGGATTTTAATTTACAAATTTGTTTATCGAACTTTATCTGCAATACCGACATACTGCCGATATTGCAGTTGATATCGATAATACCATTATGATTAGTTCGATCGATAACTATGTTAAAGATAAACTTGTGAATACTTTTCCTAACGTTCACATTGCATTAAGAATATATTTGTCGATTCTTGGATCAAATGCAGAAGGAGAAAGATCTTTCTCCAGATTAAAATTGATAAAAAATTATTTGCGTTCAACAATGAATCAAGATCGTTTGGCATCGCTCGCACTTATGTCTATTGAATACGACATTTTGCGTAGTTTGGAATTCGACAGCATAATACAAGATTTCGTTGAATCCAAAAATCGCAAAAAAGTAATATATTAGATCATAAGATTCTGCAAAATAATTTATTACCGAAAAATATTATATTTTTATTTGTATCTTCATAATTTTGTGCAAAATACACTTGTTGTTTTTAAAGCTAAATTATTTTTGTCAACAAATTTTTTTCTCCCAAGTTTTTCGTAGGCTCCTAAATTTCGTAGGCCCTAGGCACGTGCCTAGTGTGCCTATAGGTTAATCCGGCTCTGGACATACCTTACTGTAAAAGATTTGTAAAATTTATGTATTGAAATTCATATTGTTGTGTTTTTATATTAGATTATACTAATTATATTATATTTAGCTTCAAAATCTAATAGAATAAAATGTGTGTGAAATCCATTACTTTTTTATGTGTATGTAAAAATTATAAATACAGTAGTTATTGCATTTAAAATTTCATTTTTGTTTTAAAAAAACTTTTTTTTTCCTTCTATAATAGTAATATAAAGAACAAAATTAAACAGTCAAAAAAAAAATTTCCATTTTTCTGAAATATGCAATTGTTAAAGGGTTAAAAGACTGAATCAAGAGTTTCCCGAAATTTACTCCGGTAATGTGCTATTTAATGTGTATCATTAAAGTTTGTTTTTCTCCTTTTATCAACTAATCTGTGGTGACTTGATTCTTCAGATGTCGCAGCATAAATAGATGATATGTTAATTTCCTGAATTGTAATAACATTTTAAACCGTTTGATATATTTTTTTTGTATTATATTTTTTAAGCAGTTTTTTTTAAATGTTATTGCAGGAAATATGTTGATCAAGTAGTGTCCAATTGTCAAGATGTTATTGAGAGGATGTACGTGGAAGTACCACACAGTTTTGAAAAGTTATCCGATGATTCTAACTTTAAAACTCAATTAGATGACAGGTATGTTCAAAATATATATTCCTTCGAAGGGAGGTCATCACCCGGAAAAAGCTAGGTTACTCGATTTCCTTAGTTTTGGATATAACCAAAAAGTATCATGTACGCTTGCCATCATTCCGCCGAAAGAATGTTGAGTGTGTAACATATTAACCATTGGCAAAATTGGTCTTGGTTTGGATTTGATGGTGTTCACACCCTTGTCAACTGTGTTCAAGAGTATGTAATAGTAAACAGTGCGCATGCGTCGTCATTGCATGTGTTGCTATGGCGACCGCTGCTGTTTTTCTTTTCATTTTCACTAGCAGGCATTCTTAATGTATTTACATAATAATAATTTAAAGTTCTTTTTATTCTTAACGTATAATTACTGTCTTGACGGTGATTTCAATATAAATATGAATGGTGAAGAAGGAGAAGTATTTTGTGACGTCTTGAAACAGGTACGTAGGCAGTCCAATCCGACCACAAACATCAATGGAGACAGTTTTTGAAATCCATGCTTTGACCAATGGGTAACCAGTGATCGTAATAAGACAATCACGACTTTTTGGTTTACTTTTATTTAAATCTAATTTTATTCTACAAAAAGAACAAACTATGAATATATGGACACCGAAATATTTACGCACGCAGAAGTATAAACCTATTCAATTCATCAACTATCTCTAACGCTGAGTGTGCGGGAGGGTCCTTCCCTTTAATTCTGCCCAATTGATGAAATTAAGTGCAAATATGTGAGGTATAGCAACTCTTAACATGCTGTCTTTTTTCTCCGTGGTTTTTGCTTTTTTTTCCCCACGTCACTACATTCCAACTTCTTACTGAAATATATTGTCAGGGGAAAAAAGGCTGTAACCATGCTAGCACGGAAAAGTGGAGACATAAGACTTTTTTAAAATTAGATTTCTCCGCAATTATTCTACAGATTTTTGCTCAAATTTTGTATTTTGCTGCGTAAAATTACCCACTTTAAAATGATTTAAAAAATTGTATACTTTATAGTTTAAAATTTTTTCCGACTGTTACTAAATAAAACAATAAATGTTAACTAAAATTTATTTTTTGCATAGTTCAGAATTATATATGAACAAATGAATTTTATAATTGTGTGCAAAATTTTTTCAATTCGCTTAAAAAGAATCTGTGTCAAGACGGTTTCATAATCTTACTGATGAAAGTGGAGAAAGAATTTACGTCTGTATTATGTTGTATGAAGATAAGACAATTTGAAATGCCTTTTAACTTTGAATTTTTATTTACTTAAAACATTTTAAGTTTCAACTATTTTGCTCTGTACTGTACACCAAATATTACATTAAATTACAGAGACAAGACTTTTCAGCAACACAGTTTGAAATTATAAAATATTGAACCAACAATACATCTTTCATTTATTAAATAAAAGATACATTTATTGTATTTCACGGGTAAACGAAGAAATTCTATGGTACAATCACTTTTGGTCATCAAAATAAGTATTAATGCAGGGAACAAATAAGTTACTTTTTGTTCTTTGTTCACCTACAGTAATGAACGGTATTTCCTCTAATCATAACATAATTATACTTGTTCATCAGTTACAATTATTATTTATTACAATAAATTGAAACGGCATCCATTATAATTTCGACAAATTCGGATATGCATATTGCAATGTAAGACACATTGTTTAGTTGTATTTAGATGGTTTAAGAAATGTTTGCCTTTCAGCGGTAGCCGGGCGAAAGAGAGAGGCAACAGGGCACACGATGCATGGTCATGGGCAGCCTACTTTCACCAGGGATCTCTCTGTGATTCAGAGGCCGGTTTTTTGAGACCCGAAACAGCAAAAGACACTTCTGGCAAATGGAATATCATTTTGCAGACAGACACCTTAAAACAAAGAGTCCCCATAGAAATGTGCAGGTGAGCAATGCCTTTATATACATAGCAGGGTTAGAAGTTGTCCAGAGTACCCATGAAGATACATAGACACACATTTTTACTAGTCCGTTTACATCGTAATTTTATTTAAAAAATATTAATAAACTGAGTTTACACATTCTCTGTATTGTAATTTTTTATTTAATGTCACTATTATGATGAAATATGCTATTGAATAATAAAAACACTGGGCAAACAGGAAAAAAACGAAACATCAAATTATCCCTTCAGAATGATTGCTGAGACCATGGATAATTTTTTGGTACTCCTCGTAAAATTTTTGTGATCTCGGACCGCATTTAATTTCGAGCCCTGGTAATTGGACGAGGGTGCACCATCGTAATGAGAGAGCAGGATGGTCCAAACCAAAACAGGATGGTCAGATACCTCACATTTCTAACAGCAAGGCTAAGTTCTAAAAATGTTTAATGCACTACTGCGTACTAGATTATTTTACATTTTAACCATGTTGAGCCGCAATGGTTCAGGGGATAGAGCTTTCGCCTTTCAATGAGGCGAACCGGGTTCGAATCCTAGTCGATACAAATTCCGCATCCGGCTTGCTCCGACCACAGTTCTGACGTGAAATATCCTCAGTGGTAAACGGATCATGGGTGAGAGTCCCCTTTACCTGCAGGCTAACAGTGATAGGTTCTCGTGGTCTTCCTCTCCATGTAACGCAAATGCGGGTTAGCTCCATCAAAAAGTCACCTCCACGAAGGCAAATTTCTCCCAATACTCGATCCAGGAGTTCCCTTGTCTTCTGGATTGGGTTCAAAAGTACAAGGCTACGGAGTTGAACATTAGTAGTCGTAAACCCATTAAATTGGGCCAACTGTTCAACGACGGTTATAAAATATTAACCATGTTGCTCCAGGGTTGCTCAGGGGATAGAGAGCTCACCTCCCGATGAGGTGATCCGGGGTCGATCCCAGCAATAGCTGAACGATACGAATTCCGCACCCCAGCTCGCACCGACCACAGTGCTGACGTAAAATATCCTAAGAGGTAGACGGATCATGGGTTAGAGTCGCCTTGCCGTCAAACTAACCGTGGAAGTTCTTCGCGGTTTTCTTCTCCATGCAACGCAAATGCAGGTTAGTTCCATCAAACAGTCCTCCGCGAAGGCAAAATTTCTCCCAATATTTGATCCAGGAGTTTCCTTATCTTTTGGATGGGGTTCAAAATTACAAGGCTACGGAGTTGAACATTAGTGTTCGTAAGTCCAAAAATTAGGTCGGCTGTTCAACGACGGTTATAAAAGTAAAATATTAACCATGTTGTAAAGTGTGATTCGACAACACCGAAAATAATATGCGTTAAAAAAACATCAACTACTGGATACTTTTTGATAGGTGTAGCGTAAGTTAAGTTTCATTTTCCTTTTGTTCTAAAGGAAGACGAACACTGCATGCAAGAAGTCGTGCGGTCTGAAGAGCAGCCAGTGCCTCCAGAAGTATAACTACCACCTCCTGTTGAGTGTGAACCCTCTTCTGAAACACGACTGTCCCTTCATGAAACTTTACAGGTTTCCATCAGCCTGTGTCTGTCACGCAGAATGAATGGCATCCATGTGTGGATCACTAATGGATGAAAAATTAAAAAGTACGGTTACAAACATGCGCAGGTAAGCATGGAACACATTATGACACTGAACAGTTTCTTAACAAAGCGTTAATCATGGTCATATTGTTAGCTGTTGGGTCTTTATATTTTCCTTTTTTGCAATACGAAAAAAGTTTCTTCCTTATTATTTATTGTAGCATCAGTTTCCCATACTATGGAAATGTTTCACCCTCAGTATTAGTTACGAGTTTGCTTACAAGTATGACAAAAATTTTCTCTTCATTATTATAGTTCGTTCACCAGGAGTTGGCTCCGCCTTCATCACGCGGTATCCGACGATACTATTACGCTATTCTTGGGAGAAGGATGTAAAAAATTTAGAACAAGGTTGTTATTTGGCGATCTTATGACAAATGAATTTATTTCGCAATCTTTGTGCGCATTTTTTAAACATTAAATATTTCATAAATGTGATTATATTTCGCTAGTTTGAGTGAATGGTTTGTCCTTTTTCAGACATTTTGCCTGGGAAAACAGCAGTGTTTAAATTCAAAATATATTTAATTAGCTGGAGTAACAATAGGTATAATAGCAGATGACAAAACGAAGTAAGTGACTGAAAAAAAATTCACTGTTTGCGTTTGGCTCGCATTAAGGGTTGTCTCAATTTCAAGCGCGAATATGTTTCTCCTCTTACTTCTGCGCTGAAATGAACTCTGCGTTCGAGGAGGTGGAGCCATGGGCCAACTCCTGGTGAACGAACTACACTCATGAGTTTTCTTATCATAGTTTGAAAAGCAAAATAACGTAGTTCCAATTTACCATATGAAATTGCTTTGTTTCTTGAAAAAATAAAGATGAAAAACTGAATGACTTTTTGATCTTATAATCTGATTTTCATTCAACAAATCATACGAAAATCGTGCCAAAAAATGCCAAATAACACTAGAAAGACTGAAACTTAGTATATACATATATTGCCCAAAAGCAGTCAAAATGACTGCATTGTGAGAAAATAATTAATATGTAAAGAAATTTGTTTAAAATTATTTTTTTAATATTATTTACGGTTATATAACAAGTTATTAGTCAATATTAACAATAAAAAAATTATATGTTGTACAAAAAGTCACAAAACTCTAGGAAATTGTGTCATTATATACATCATTGTTTTTCTAATTGAAATTAAAAAAGCAGTCAAAATAACTTCCTTAAGGCAATGTAGGGTTAAGTAAATGAACTCACGGTTCTTTGGTTAAAAATTAATTTAGAACAGTATTGAAACCACAATAGAATCAGGAGAAAGGAAGTGCATACTTATAAGCAAACTACTTCATACTATATAATTTTAGTGCTAAAGATGGAGTTAAAATAAAGAATGCTTACAACAAGCAATGTTACTAAAACAGTACAAAGAGAAAACAACTAGTATCTTTCTGTCATCCTGAACAGTTAAAAAATTGTTGTGAATTCAGTATTCAAACTTGAATTAAAGTGATTTCATCGAAACCTAAAATTGTCATTCATTTGTAATTTGATTGGATTGAATGTACACTCATTTTGTAGAAGCAGAGCATGAATGAATAAAGTGTTTTTTATTCTAAAATGTTGTCGATAAACAAACTGTGTTCTTTTTATCTCTTGTTGGATTATGACTTGAAAGGTACGCATTTTTACCTTATCGTAATACAACTGACATAAGAAACACTATTGCCCCAAAACGAATATTTAAAATAAGATGACAAAATATCATTTTACAGTTTTCCACTACCAATTAAGACATAATACAAGACGTTAAGCATCATACTTCCTGTATTATGTATATACAATGTTAATGTTTGCACGAAGCCTGCTTCTGCTCATTTGTCATAGCAGAACCATTTTAACAAACTTATATAAAATGAGATGAGAAAACCAATAGAGAAGCTTCCGAATCGAGTGAATCCTTTTTCAAAAGATTTAGAATAGTAGTTATTTAGTTTTATAAAGAACCACCTGGTTCGCGTCCCTGCTACTAGTTTTTGGACCTTGAAGAATGATACGAAAAAAAAACGAAATTCCAGGATACACCCGCATTACAATCAACCCCCTGTATCTTACTATAGCTGCAGAATTATTCTATAAAATTTTTAAAAAAGTAATTTTTGATTAACAACAAAAATATTTTAAAATTTGGAAAAAAAATTGTGTAAGATACGAGTAATTCTTTCTTACTGCGCTTGCACGGAAAACATTTTTGAAAAAAATTTGATCATAATTTTATTTAGAATTGTGTAACTTCTTATAAACAAATTCTGATTTGAATATCTTTAAAATGTAAAAAAATTTCTAGCAAATTTCTGAGTAGTTTTTGTACTTTTTTTTTTATATTGAAAGCTCTAAATCATTGTTTCCCAACGTGGGGCCCACGCCCCACTGGGGGGCATTTTGATCGTTAAGGGGGGCAATTCGAAAATGGACTCGACCCGAGTTTAACTCTTTTGCTCCGGGCCATTTAAATGCAATGCTAGATTTCGGTGCCAAAATTGAAAGAAAAAAGCAAATTCTTAAATAATTGCGGCCAATAAATATTATAAATTCGTTTGACGAGACTGAAGTTTCAACTGGGTTTTTGACATCGTTAAGTTAACTTCCCTGCTGCAGACGGCAGGCTCCGCGTGGACCCCCGCACGCTTTAAAATCTCGTTAAACAATGCAGTTGTTCGAATCTGAAGAATAGACGGAATTAGTGAAGATATTGAAAAACAACTTGTTGAAAACAAGAAAATTCTCAATGCAAATGGATGAATCAACTTTGATAGACAGTGTGGCAGTAATGATAACTTACGTAATAGGATATATTGATAAAGGGCATTTTGCTGAATAAATGTTCCTCAGTAAAAGATTAGAATGCACCACTACCTCCAAAGATATATATAATAAGCTAAAAAACTACTTAGATGTCAATAATATACCAATGAAAAATATAACATCTTGTGCTGCAGATGGTACTCGTAATATGATGGGCAAGAAAAATGGTTGCTTAAAATTGATGAAAGATGAGAATCCAGGAATGATTCTTGTACATTGTGTTATTCACAGGGAAAACTTGGTAGCTAAAAACATCTCGCCTGTTCTAAATGAAGTACTACATATCAGAAATAAAGGGTATCAATGCTATTAAAGCTGATGCCAAATGTGAGCGTCTCTTCAAGCTATTTTGTGAAGAACAAAAGGCAGACCATGTGAGACTTTTACTTCAAACTGAAGTAAGATGGCTCTCAAAAGGGAACTGCTTAAAAAGATTTATAGAACTGTTTGATACTCTTACTGATTTTTTAAGCGACAAACCTGAAATGAAGTATCTGTTAACTGTCGATGGTAAAGCATTTGTAAATTATTTAGCCAATATCTTTGAAAAACTAAACATAATAAATAAGCGACTTCAAGGAACAAATAAAACTCTTGTTGATGTTAAAGCGACGATATTTGGTTTCATTACCTTTATTGAGTTATATCAGAAATATATTAACAACAAGAAATTTAAACAGTTTCATTGGCTCCAAAAATGTAAAGTAAATGATACCGCTTTGCTTGTTATTGTCATCTAAAAATTTTATCGACTGATTTAAAAGAAAGATTTTCTGATTTAAAATAAATTGATTTTCCAACATGGATGAGCCCCGCAGTGCACTGATCGTTAAGACACGGTTCCCAGAAGACCACCGAAGTCAAGCATCACTGGCTGCGATCAGTGTGCGGGTGGGAGACTACTTGGATCAGTCTGCGTAGAGACCGAGGGTGTGCGGTATGGGTCCTCGTTAAACTGTTCTACCGTAAAGTGCTCGACTTCGCGTGCAGGTTGTTGGGCTACCGAAGTTGGGGTGCCATCCCCTCTGTAGAGGATCAAAATTGTGATGGCTTGTCTTTGGATCATCCTCAGGGATGTTTCCCTGACCGTCGCCAATAGCCCATTGTGCAGCTCTAGTGCGACGTAAATTAACTACAACGACCTTCATGAATGATGCAGCCAATGTTAGTGGATTTGTCTGATATATCACATATGCACTATCAAGATGAACTCGCAGAATGACGAGTCAGTTAAAACTTTATTTAATATAAAAGGAGTGATGACATGTCTTTGCGAGGAAACAGAAATCAAATACCCAAATTCACCCAAATGAGCAAGAAAATTATTGTTACCGCTCCCATCTTCATGTTTAGCTGAATGTGGATTTAATGCTGTAAATGATTTACTGGTGAAAAAAGAAATCGCCTGGATATACCACAACGAGGAGACTTATGCTAACCAAATTGGAACCTAACATGAAATGTCTGTTCAGCAAGCATCAAGAGCAAGGATCTCTTTAGCCCTGAAGGATCTCACTAAATTAAAATATTAAATTACTATAGAAAAATCCTTATTAAAATTATTTCGCATTTGAATTTTAGTTTTCCATTATGTGCTTTGAAAATTTCCTTACTGTGTTTCGTTAACAATTTCCGAGTGATTTCTTCCTAAAACCTATCTTTAAGTTTCTTTCGTGAACAATTAAATTTTTTAATATTAAAAATTATATATATATTACATAGGGGGGCAAAAGATTTTTAGAAAGGCTTAGGTAGGGCATGGCAGAAAAAAGGCTGGGAAACACTGCTCTAAATGATAACGGGGTGTTCCACAAATTTCATTTTGTATCATAAAACAAAATTTCTTGAATGATAATACCCTAAACTGATGATTCGGACAACAAAACAAAAAATGTGATGGTATTAGGAAATATAACATTTAATAGGGTGTGGTCCTATATAATGACGTCATTTTTAATAAACCTTGGTCAACATGTTTTGTTACATTTGTGGAAAACCCCTTACCATTCAAAGCTTCCTTTCCAAATTAGCAAAAACTACTTGGGATATTGTTAGAAACTTTTCTAATGTTCAAGATATTTAAATCTGACTTCATAAGTTATCATATAAGATAGAAAAGGATTACTTCACGAAATTTTTTTTTAAAATTTTTATTGACTGTTTTTAAAACTATAGTAAAAAATAAAAACATAAGATTTTTTTTTATAAAAATGTCCATATTTCCATCAATATAGAGCTAGGCGTACGTAATTTTGTGCTGTTATTTAATATGAAAATCAACGTAATTGACACGAGTTACAAGCTGATCGCTGCATTTTTTGGCATAGGGTGGTCAAAAACATTATTCGTTCATAAAATATTTAGACGAACCTTTATTGATATGAACTTTAAGAAACTGCATGACTTAAGCATTTCTGAAGTTTTAAATTAATTCTCTAAATATTTTTTGAGAAATATGAAAAATGAGTCAGTATTTTAATGTTTCCATCATTTCGTCCAATCCCTGTACTTATTATTGCATAAGAATAATTTCGACTTTATTTATTTTTAAAAAATTCGATTTAAATCTAAGGTTTATTTACGAAAAAAAATTTCTTTTTTATGATAGTGGTTTGTTTAAAGAATTTTTTCAAAATAAAAATCATAATAAATTATGTATTTAAAAAGAAAATCAGGTTATTTAAATCACGTCAAATCCTATAAAAGTTTAGTTGAGCATTGTGGGCATTCACTTAAGCTAAAAAAAAGTTAATGCTACAATAACTATTTTTTTTTAAAGATTAAATTAAGATTTTTTTTTAAGATTATATATATTGGATGATAAAAATGAACCTCAGTAAACATTGTTTGTGCCTTGATTAGGAATTCAGTTTCTTTCAACAATGTTTTTATTTTATTTCCAATGGCACATTAAAAGACAATTGAACATCAAAAAGATAACAATTAAAATTCTTGATGAGTCTCCAGGAATTCTTGATAATGTCAACAAAACAATGTATCTTATATATATACGTTTCCTTGACCTTACAATATTGAATGTGTTAAAAAAAAATGATCAAAATTTTATTGACATAGTAGCCAACAATAGATAGAAAAAAAATCCAGCAGATTTTACGAACAAATATAAATTTCATGACAATTGTTGCATAATGCAGGGGTGATTGTGAGCCCATGTCAAAATTCCAGAGTTTAAAAAAAAAGACAGTTTAAATTGAAAAAAATTTAAACAAGGTTTTTTTTTCTTCCCTTTTCTCAATATTTCTTAGTTTACTTAAAATAAATTTAAAATTTTACACATACCTATAATGACCTGCAGAAGTAATTAAAATTTACAAATATGTCTTTCTTTCTTTAGTTTATGATTATAACAACTATCTACTGATAAAAAAGGAATATCAATCATGAATATAAGCTTATAAAGTATCTCTCTGACTCTCCCTTACAAACAAATAAAATAAACTGTGTTTTTAAGTTCCACCTTGGAAAATTTGATTTCCGGAAACTTCTGCGATCAATGATTTTTTGAAACATCCGGACCTTCGATCTCCAGATCACTATTAGCGAAAATTCCGGAAATCCGGATTTTTTCCGGAGCACAATCAGCCCTGATAATGTATTAAATATTTTACCCATAGGGAATTTTTATTGTCATCTAAATTGAAATACTGCGAATATTTTTTCAGTTATGAATAGACACTAAATGAACTTGAAATGCATTGTATTATGCTTACTCATAATTTTGAATAGTAATAAGCATTTAATTCACAAAAGATTTTTTTAAATTTATTTAAAAAGGGAGTTTTACATAAAATGATTATTAAAAAAAAAAAGAGATAATTTCTTTCGTGATTCAAATCCAATAAAGTATTTAGGTAGAAACTTACCTTTTCCTTAATTTTGCTACTTCTTCACTGAGGGTCTGGCCATATTTTCCTGAAAATAAATACCTTCTTCTCATTGAGACTCTAATGATATCTGATATAAGGAAACAATAGGAAAATTTATTAAGGTATATACAAAAGTACACTTAAAGAGTAGAGGTATCCATTTTTATCAGAGTGGTTTCTCCCTTCGTTTGAAAAAGCAATAATAATAAAAACAAAACTCAACAGTATAGGTTACCGAGTTTCAGTTTTTGTCCGCCAGATGGAGGTGGCGGATTTGCAACACTGATCATATTAGAGCAAAATTTTTTTTTATTTATTTAATAAACTGATTTTATTAATGAGGTTTGCTTCATTATGCAAGCACGTAATAATCAGTGCAAAAATTCATTTCAACAGGAATTTTTTTAAGAAACTTACTCAGTTTTAGGGAATTTTCATTAGAACAGGAGAAACTGGTAGAGATGGCAGCTATGTATTGAACATACAGTTAAATTTAATAAGACAAAAACCATCAAATGCCATATTACAGTCTTTATTGTCATTTTTTAATATTACATAAAAACATACAAATAATGGAATGTAATTCACCATATCACCGGGACAACCACACTGGTGATGTGAAAATGTTTTATAAATAAGCACAAACTGTAAAAAAAATATTTAAAAACTATAATAAAAAAATATTTAATAAAATAATACAATTAAGCAAAAAGTTACTGTAATATGGAAATCTTCATTTTGGTCATTTTGATAAATATGGTTTAACTACTTAAAGTACACTTAAGCTTTACTTCCACTTTTTTTTCTTCCAGACTAAGTAAAAAAAAAAAACTTTCCCAAATGACGAACACCATTTTTCGTCTTATAAATAAACTCCGATGTGAATTGTAAAAAAAACTTTAAACTATTCATCAACAAGCTTTTTATTTATTTCTGCACTAAAAACAATGCAATGAATTTGTAAGCAATATGATTTTTTAACAAGAAATATCCTTGTCAGAATATGTTACTTAAAAAAATTTCTTCTGTAAATTCTCTTAAAAGAAATCTTTATTTTCTCATAAATCCAATCTGAACTTTCAATTACAAGTTAAGATAACTGATGATTTCCTTTAAAGTCATTTCAAAACTAACTTTTTTTTTTTTTACCAAAATGTTACAAAAACCATAAACAATAATAATAATAATAATAAAGAAATCCATCCACTGCCATTTGATACAAAATAGAAGAAAAAAAATTCATTAATATATAAAAATAAGATCATTATAACTGTCATAAGATTCATGTAAAAATAAATGCAATATAAACAAAACATTTAAACACATAAAGACTAATAAGTAACATAGAAAACTTTAAAATATACAAGTACCCAAGATTAATCTTTAAGTTTGTAGAGTTAAAAACAATTCCACAAAAAAAAAAAAGACTAGATGAAGATATTTCAGATGCAGATTAGTGATAGACAGTCAAACCTTGATAAATTGAACTTAGGTTTTGCAAAGAAAAAAAAACTCCACCTTTTAAGTACTTTTTAAGCACTATATACATTGACAAAATGCAAAATAATTTTTAAGGACTTTACATGATCATGATAAAATAACTAGTTTCTGACAAAGAACTCTTTTCTTGATTATATTAGCTATTATAAAATGATCAAGAGATTTTTTGGTTCTATACCAGAGGGTGGAAATGAAGCCTGAAATTGAGAAATGCAACAGAGTTGCACATTAGAGTGCAATAATCTCACTGAAGTCAGTTGAGTAGATGCACAAGCGGGCTCGCAAATATTTTATCAAACAGGTAAAATGATAGGCGCTTTCATACGCTATGGCCCGAGAGTACACCGAGATAGATTGTGGTTGAAAGAATTGTGAAAACGTTGAATAGAAAAATGAGAAAAATCATCTTTTGCATAATACGTGGCGAAAATCGACAAGGTAAAGAAAAAAAATCTCATTTCGGAGAAGGGAAAATGAAACACTTTTTAAAAACACCCAATAAAAAAGCACCTTTAAGGACTTTTATAAAACGAAAATATAATAAGCACCTTTAAGTACTTTTTAAAACCGCTACGCACCCCAAACCAATATACACTCTATTTTTCAACCAATATAGGTCAATACTAGCCCTATATGGGACCAATAAAAAATCTAGACATCCCAATATTGGTCCCTCGGTGCACACTCATATAGGACTCATACTGAGCTAAACTGAAGTCAAGATAAAAGGGTAATGATGATATGCTAAAGAAGCTCTTAAGGAATGAAATCCAATGCATCAAGATATCAAGGTTTGACTGGATGATGAAAAACTTATTGAGAAATTACTTTCTTCAAAATAAAAATCTGACTTCAACCTAGGTGACAAATGCTAAATGAAACAACTTTGAATTCTTCATTCCTATTTTCAATTCTACAACTTATAAATAAAAAAATGTCACGGTTTAAATAAGAAGTTCATAGAGACATATTCAAGTTGTTCAACACCATATATTGTTATTCTTTGACCATCAAACAGATAAATATATATATATATTTATATATTAAAATAACATCCTTTAATTTTCTCATAGACATATTTAAGACAAGGCACACCTCTTTATTTTCCAAAGTGCCAATCAATACTCTACCTAACAAACACTACTTGCACTGAAGTCTATGAACAACCTCATGAACATGTTCATTCTATTTTTTTTTTCATAATAATAAGGGCTTCGTATTGCACTTAGAGTGCAATTTTCTGTCTCTTACAGTTCAATTACAGTAGAACCTCTTTCATTTGAATACTTCAGTTAACCAAAGTTATTTTTCAATTTCTCCTTTTATTTCGTTAAATAATGCAGTAAAAGTTGCTTTTTTTAAAATAAGAAATCTTAAAGTTGCAATTAGTGTTGATTTATCGCTCATTTCATTAAGACTAGTGATTATTAAAGGCTTCCACTATTGACGAAAATCATACCTGTCAACATTGGAGAAATAAAAGAAGAGATTTTACTAGCAACATTGTTTAGGCTACGAGTAAGGTTTTAAATACATCATGCATAATCAAAAAGAGAAATTCAAAATTGGAAATATAATTCAGTGAATATGATTCTTATATTAATTTAGTCCTACATTTAGCGAAGTAAAAAATATGTATATAAATCTTAATCTAAAGAAGATTTTTTAAACCATTATTTATAATTACTTAAAACTATTAGCACTCAACACACTGTAATACTGGCAATAGTACCATCTGTTGAGGAATAAGAGAAGTATTTTTGTCATCAGGGAACATTTTACCACCCAAAATTTTTTTAAACAAATTTCTTCAATAAATAGGAAGAAATTTGAGAATATATGGGTAAACAGGAGATAGTCGTAAAGTAGATTAAAAAGTGATATTACCTCCATAATCAATAAACTTTACTTATGCAAAATAGGTCAGATCCCAATTGCTTTGTTGGAAGTTCTACTGCATTTGAATTTAAAAAAAAAAGGATCTAGAATAGGGGCGCACAACTTTTTTGAGTGAAGGGCCACCTGCACAACACATAGATTAACGAAGGGCCGCACGCATATTTAGTCATGTTAGAGACAAATATGATGATTTTTATCTAAACATTAATGCTCTAAGCACCAGATATTTTTATCAGTAAACATAACAACATATTTGCAGAAAATTAAATACTTTTAATTATTTGAATTTGTTTTTAAAAAAAACATACATTTTTAAAAAAAAACTTTTTTCCATTTTTCACAATAATTTATTTTTCAATACATATATATACACACACACATAAATATTGGAAGGGGTGATATAAATTCTAACCAAAAAGAAGCTTCCCCAATGAAAGTGAAAAAAAATATGTATTTTATAGAGTAATATAAATTTGAATTAAAAATTTTAATAAAAGAAAATTTATAATGTTTAAATAAAAACCAAATTTAAGGAAATTTTTACTATGTTCAGAAGTCCGCACATCAACAGACGTTGGCCCGCAGGACATAGGTTGTGCACCCCTAATCTAGAATAATTTCAGTTGTTTAAATAATTCCACTCCTGAAACACCACAGTGATTGGCACCCGTTCTCCGATGTTCCCTTTGTTTGAGGAACACTATAAATTAAAAAAAAAATTCTATCCACTGGATGGTTGTTTGAATGATTGCAACAATTAAGCTTCCACAATAGCTTACATGAGCCCATACCACAGATGCGTACTGAGAATATATATATATATATAAAGCAATGCTTCCAAGGCAGTGATTTGAAAGACATGGCAGCTGAAGCCCTGAAAGAGGGGACTCTGTGTCAATCAGACAAAAGGCCACATAGAGGACAAAAACTCGTGTGGACAAACTTCGCATGGAGACTGAATATCACGTAATTGATGTCATAACGGAAGATACCACTTAAATGACACAACAATATGTGGTAAAGAACACAAACCACCTTTTTGACCAGCAGGCCTTCAGAAAATAGAATTTCGAACATAATTACATTTTAACTGCTTCCCTGATTATCCCCAGTTAACTCGGGTATGTATAGATTGCAAATATTTATTATCCCGAGTGAACTCGGGCATTGCAGAACTCCTCAATATGTTTTGTTTTATCACGTTTTTATTCGGCCAGAAGTAAAACAAAAGATAATAATAATCAGCTGTGATTGGAAGTTTGCCAATTTTAGTTTGGGAGTTAATAAATGGCACAGTAAAAAGAGTTAATAAATGGCGTTCGTGAGCGAAAGTAATGAAGGTGATTTTTCAGATTATGAAGTTGTGAACATATACAAAGACTAATATTTAATTTGCCCTAGACAATTTGGGTTAGTAAACTGATGGTAATTGAAATATTTTTTACACATAAAAAAATTAAAATTGCAAGTTACAACTTGTGTATTATGTTTTGTTTTAGTTCCCTGTATTTATTAATGAAAGAAAAGAACATGTTTATTTTTTGCATTTTTTTCCCCTAAAAAATTAGTAATGGTTAGTGAACTTTTATAATGTATATCCAATAAAAATACATGAGATGTCTGTTTCAAACTCAAGTTAAAGAAGAGGGGTTTTTTTTAATTTTTTTTAAACATGTTATGTTGTAAAATAAATGATAATTAGAATACATGATATTATGCCTATGCGAAATTTCTTAAAAACAATATTATGATTTTGTCCAGACGAGATGTTGGCCTTGTGGTTTTGTCTGGGGATATTTCAGGCACAAAATGTTGTCCCTAAACCAGAAAGAGGAGTATTCTAATGTGTCTGTAGGTAGTCATACTAATTTCTTGAAAAACAAAATAAACAATTTGATATCATTTGAGAAGTTTGTACATACATCAATCCTAAATGATAAAAGAAATGCAAAGCACATTTTTTTTCTTTTTCTTTCTCATTAAAATAAAACCTAAGAAAACGCCATATTTTATATACATTCTTACATACTCGCACAAAAAAGAAATTTTAGTGACTCATTTTTTAAAAAGATGACATGAAGTAACAAAGAAAAAAAAAATCATGATCTAATGATTTAAATTTCAGCGAATGATTGTTTCGTATTCGGAAAAAAACTCAACTTAAGCAAACATTTAACAAAAAAGGTTAGTATAATACTTTTCGTTGTTTACTTAAAAGTTTTGGTTATACTTTGTATCACAATTATTTCATTAAAACATATGTAAAAATTGATAGGCACACAAGAACTTATTGTTGTACATAAGAAGTTTCAAAGGACACTACAAATATTCAATAAGCCCATTTGCTTAAAACTAAGAGACTCAACATTCCTAGATAATCATTTATACAAGACACCTTTCTTTTTTGTATTAAAGCATCTACCTAACCAGTGTAAAATCCCCCAAAAATACATTAACTGCATCTAACATGATTAAATAGAGAAGATTTTTGGAGGATTGTCCCTCACTTTATCCCTATTGGCAGGAAAATTCTAGGCTGTAGATATATAAGACATAATGTGACATTGCAGGCCACTTTGCTAGGCACAAGAGTTAGAATTTTAACTAAGAAATCTATAATTTATATATATACATATACATACAGGGGTGATTGCGACACAAAGTGAAAAATCCTGAAAAATTTATATGCAAAAACTCGATAACAAGAGATCAATTTATATTTCATTTAGATTTAATATAATTTTTTTTAACTAAGATTTATAATTTAACTTCCTACCAATAAAATATATGACACTTTTATAGTAACTAATTCAAGAAAAAAACTAAGTTCTTACAAAAATCATAACATTGTAATTTAAGAACATGGAAATAAAAATCGCAAAATTGGGTTTTAAAATCGTGTGAATATGAATCACGACATTGGATTTATTAACGAGAAAATACAAACTGCATGATTTTTAGATCCTGTGAATACGAATTGCCACGTATGATTTATAAATAGCGTGAATACAATTCAAAATTCATAAATTTGAAACCAGGTAAATACGAAAATCGATGGTTGTTATTAAAATAGCGTGAATATGAATTGTGATATTAAAGGATTCCAGAGTTGTGTCAAATATTAAAAACGACAAAAGTTCAATGAACCGAAAAAAAAAAAATTAGCAGAAGAGTCGTCAGTATGAAAAGGTCTCGTTAACGTGATTAAGCGATGGTTTCAAAACTTTTAATTTTAGAAAATTTCTCAGATTATTAGTTTTGATTCCCGGACTTCCTCGAATCAATGGTCTTGAGAACCGTGAAAAAATCACATGTCCCGCTCCTAGTTTTTAAACCAAGAGGGATAATACGAAAAACCCGGAATTCCGGGGTACACCTGGAGTACAATCACCCCTGTATACATATATAGTCATTTCAGGCATTTTAAACATCTAAAAAGTGAATGTATCAATATAATAACTCTGGCTCTAAAATAAAATTCTTTTGTTTTTACCCTTGCACTACTATAACTGTGGAGTCAAGTGGTAATGCTTAAAATAAAATAACAGTGCATTAGAAAGAAAGAATGACACTCAATCGATCAAAAGTTCGAGGTGAACACTTCCCATGCGATCCGTTCGATCGTGTTTGATGTTTGCGGCCCAGGCTTTGCACTCTATGTTGATTAGGACGCCGGTCGCTGGCTTCATGAAGCGGACAAACACAAAAGGGGAGAGATAACCATCTAAGTTGGTGAAGGGAAAATAGTAATTAGGAATTCCTCCATTTGGAGGGTAGTATGTGATCGGACCAATGTTTTCTTTATCAGCAGGATTCTGAAAGAGATATTACGAATAAATTTCTTAATGTTATGCAACGGGGAAACCAAGAGCTTTCAACAAAAAAATAAGCACTCAAGAAATATTTTTAAGCACTAAATACATTAACAAAATGCAAAATAATTTTTTAAGGACTTTACATGATCATGATTAAATAACTAGTTTCTGACTAAGAACTCTTTTCTTGATTATATTAGCCTTTATAAAATGATCGAGAGATTTTTCGATTTGATATCAGAGGGTGGAAAATGTAGCCTGAAATTGAGAATATCTTGCACAAGAGAGTGAAATAATCTCACCGAACTCAGCTCAGTAGACGCACATGCAGACTCGCAAGCATTTCATCAAACATGTAAAATGATTGGCGCATTCATATGCTATGGACTGACCGGTCACCGAAATAGATTATGGTTGAATGAATTGTTAAAACATTGAATAGAACAATGTGAAAAGTACGCTTTTGCATAATACGTGGCGAAAATTGACATGGTAAAGAAAAAAAAATCCCGTTTTCGAAAAGGGAAAATTAAGCACTTTTTAAAAACACCCGATGAAAATATCACTCTTAAGGGCTTTTATAAAACAAAAATAAGCACCTTTTAAAAACGTTACGCACCACGTTCTAAGAAAACAGTGGCGTAGCACTAGTAGATACAGAGGGGACGCCTTAGTATTCTTTGTTCGGGATTCCATCATGATGTTGAATTTTCCCCCTTTTAATCAATATTGAGTAATTTTTTTTATTTCATTTTTCAAATTAATTACTTTTCCTATTCACTTTGTGTAGCATATTTCCTTTAGTTAAAAAAAAAGTGTTATTCACTTTAATTATAACTGTGTGTAGAAAATAATAACTGTGAAAATGAATAGCTATAATTACATGAAAAGTAGAGAATTTCTAATTATATTTTTTAAACAAATATAGAGATATAATCATTACGTCAAAAACAACGAAACTCCTTTTTAGACTTTCTAAATGTTCCGCAATACCCAGAAAATACTCAAACAGCCATACACATTTAGACTAAACTTTATGAGGGCACACTAACAGGGATGATTGTGAGCACAACTCAAAAAATCTTGAAAATTTCTTGAGTAAAATCATTAATGATGCATTTCAAAAAATTAATGCCTATATAAATTAAAATCATTGATACTTTAAAAACATGCAATTCCAAATAAATTATATGTAGCATAATTTAAATGAATAATTATTCATCAGTTAGCTTTTATCTCTAATCACATTTATTATTCTACCAGAAAAAAATATTTACAAATGAAAGAGATGCAAAGTATAAATCCTAGTTCTAATATATTTAAATAAAATATACAAGAACTTTAATACATAAATTTGATCTACTATTTCTCGAAACTTCTGGACCTTGGATAGCCGGAAACTTCCGGCAAAAAATCCGGAAATGCGGATTATTTTTGGAGCACGATCATCTCTGCACTAAAGCAGCATAGATTTCCTTTTACATTTCACTTGAAAAGTATATTTAATCGATAAACTTATTGTAAAATTGAAAGGAAACATTGTTATTTAACATTTATACAAAATTAAATAATAAATAATATATATAATTATTATTTTATAATGTATATTAAAATACATAATGCATATTAAAGTGAAATTGAAAACTATTTTTACATGCATTTAAATTGTTTTCCAATTTACTATTTTCTTTCTTTTGTCGTGTACAGTGATAAAAAAAAATAATAAAGAAAAACCCTGAATAACTTTTGATGTAATGATCAGATCTTCCCGTTCTAGGATTAAATCTTTACGACTCAAGAGCATAACTGCAAATAATTATAAGTGCAGACACTATTTTAAGTTGTGAAATAAGACACAGAAAACTTCTTTTCTTGAATAAACATAGATTCAGATACATACATAGAAGAGATTCAGATTTCTGACCACCAAAATAGACCAGCCCCGTGGCAGTATCGTGGGGACACGGAGACATTGTCGCAGAACGTTACTAAGTTCTTGCAGAAAGATTTTTCCCTCAGGAAATAAAAAATTTGGTCTTCTTTTCTGCAGAAATTTTCGAAAGATTTTTTCCTTCAGTATTAATATTCGAAAGATGCTTTTCTCGTGCATCAGAGTGGAAAAAAAATGCTTGTGATGTTCTGTTCACATTTGAGAATAATGAATAACAAAAAGTAGAAAAAGTAGTATATAAAAAGTTGTATGCAAAAAGTAGTATGTAAAAAGTTTCGGTTTTCTTTTCTATAGAAATTTTTGTTCTATTTTTTTATGCAATTATTACTATTGATTTACACATAGCTTTTAAAATCAAATATTTTTAATACTGTATTATTTAATACAATAACTGAATCTCAAAATGAAAACACGCATTTAGCAACCCCTTTTTGAAGAGTTTGATTTGCGTGATTCTGACGTCGATCTTTATTTTTGGTTGTTACTGCTGCGGATTTCATGATATTTTTTAATGTAATGATAATTTCAGCCCCCCCACTCAATCTGTAAAATATAGTTCAAATACGAAAGTTGTTCAAAATTTGGACCCCTTGATGTTAATTTTACTTATTTAACTGTACTGTAATTTTACTGTATTTTGCCATATCTGGAGAACATTTTAAGTGAATTGAAATTTTTCTTTACGCAATTATGAAATTCATTTATCCAATGATAATTTTAAACAAAAAATAAGCTTTTAGTAAATATTTGTTATTTTTCATTATTTCATCTAACGATAGACGGAAATAAGTTTGAACAGTAAGGTATAGGATTCTTACAAAGAATTCAATCTTATGTGAACATAATTTTACATGATAAAATGAAAATAATCGAGCAAAATTGGTTCAATTGTTCCTGAGAAATCAAATTTGAAATGTTTTCACAAGCATAATTCCTTCGATTTCGCTAGAATTTTGTATTTTACTAGTTAAAATGCAGTTCTCGCTAGAATAAAAATTAGAGGAAGAGAGAAAATCTACCAAAAAATTGAAAATATAGGAGTGAATGCATCATTAATTGGGTTCGTACAACTTCCAGGGGTAGCAGCAAAGTTTTTTAGAATTTTAGGGTAATTTTAGGAACTTTTTTCAAAAAATTTTAGGTAAATTTTAGGGGTAATATATGATTTTGCTAGGATAAAAACAGATCACACGGTAGTTTATTACATAACAGAAGATTATTACATATCATACATAATTGCAAGCCATAAAATAAAGCTCTGAAATTTATTAAGTCAAGAATGAAATCTCTAAAGTGTAAAAATGAAATTTCAACTTTACATATTACCTATCAGAAATTAAGTGCATAATTCAGGAACAGGCAAAAGTGAGAATAAATCAAAAGAAAAAATAAATTAACACCAACTTGGGTTTTTATTTAATTTTTACCTTCTTAATCAAAACTTTATTATTACCCTTTACCTTACTTTATTAAGAAAAACTATCGTGTGATATTATTAGATTTCAAATCAGCAATTTATATTAGAAGTTAGAGAAAAACAAATCAATCACGATCATTTTTCTAATATATTCTTGATATGATTTGTGAGATTCTTTTACTGCCCTCAATAGTGTTGTGGTGATCTTCAACAATCATCCATAATTTCAAATGGTATCTTCGATTAGTCTAAGAGACATAATAGTATTCTCATGGTGACTCACATTAAGCATTGNAACTAAACTAACATTAAGAGTAGTTTCAAGGAATTAGGACTAGGCGATGCTAAAATTTTGGCCTCGTGATGTATTGTCACATCAACATTGCAATATTTTGATGCATCACAATGTTTCGGTACATTAATGTTTTATATTTAGTACTGCGCAAATTCCCATTTAGAAAGTTGCATCCTTTAAAAATAAAAAAAAACAATTTTTTATAACTATTTCTCAATATTTAATGACGTGGATGCCTGAAAAATAGTGGTTAAAATACATTCAGCGGCAGGTGTACAAGTGTTGAATGTTAAAATACATTCAACACTTCCATTCTCAATCACGTTCGGATTCATCGTGTCAGTAAAACCGTGAGTCACAGTCTAAAAAAATCGGGGAACAATAACAATCATCCCCACAGCTATTACTGCACACTGCGCTGCTAGCTTGCGGACATCGATGTACCACCGAGAACAATGCTCAACATCACGCATGTAGACATCGATGTAAACGATACGTCAGGAAATATCGTACACATCCCAGTAAATCCCAATTTCCGATGCTTCACAAAGTTGCCAACCCAAACATCGGATCGGCAATGATTGCATAGAATCGATATTTTCCGATGCATCGATTTATCGCCCAGTCATACAAGGAATAACTACAAACTACTGTTTTCTGTATTGCACTACACTACTTCTCTTAAAAAGTAGTCACTCCACAACAAATTGTGGAGAAGAAGAAAAAAGCAACTACAGGAAGTATCGCTACTTCCTACCACTGCACAATCATAGGAAATAAATTTCATGCCAGACTTACTTCCCCATCACAAGATATATATACATAGTTGGGATCATATGATGTTCTCACATGTTCTGGCATAGTCGCTGGCAGAGAGAAGTTAGAATAAGGCTCAGGTTTCCATCCATATATCTGTAAACAAACATTGCAATTGATTAGGAAAACTACTTTAAAAAATGTCAAGTGCAATTTTTTTGACAATATTTATTTTTTTATATCATTTTAATTTAAAAAAAAGAAAGAAAGAATTCTAGCAAGTGAACCATTGAAAGAAATTTGCTGTTCGTATCCTCCTCAAATATTTTAACTATAAAAAAAACAAATATTAGGGAAAAAATTATATAATTTTGAAGTTAAATTTCTTAGAATAAAGCTAAATAAAAACACATTAAAAAAAAGGGGGGGAAAGTTATTACGATCACTGGTTACTCATTGGTCAAATGCTTTTTCTTCCCAGATTGACTCCGTTAAACACCACTATATTTCAAATCATGGGTTGCAAAAACTGTCTCCATTGATGTTTGTCGTGGGATTGGTTTTCATATCCTGCCTATGTACCTGTTTCAAGACGTCACAAAATACTTTTCCTTCTTCAGCATTCCTATTTACAGGGTATCTGCTACATTTCAGATTTTTAAATTCATGACTTAACGAAGTTATTATTTTTTCCGACAAAAAAGGAACAAGAAATTCAAAAACGCATTATAACATCATAAATTGAAATGATAGGTATAACCAGAACTCTTATACTTTGCATAGTCATATTTAAAGATTTTAAATGGTCACAGTACCTTTGCAACAANTGGGCAAATTTCTGTATTAGAACAATTTAAAATCATTCATAACTTTTTTAAAAATGTAGATAGAGAGATGAATTTTTTTTTTGTACATTTGAAATACTTTGAAGTTTCATTATAAGCAATAAAAAAAAATTTGGTATTTTTGTTATTTTTTGGGTACTGTGACCCCTTAAATTTAAAAAAAAAAACAGAGTAAATAAAGAGTTGAAGCAATAAAATAGCTGAAAAAAATACAAAAGCAAATAAATTTTTTTTTCTTGCAGAATTGTATTCTTAAAGATTCTTGCAGAATTGTATTCTAAAGATCTTTTCTTGTTCATCCGAAAGGAAATATTCCTGATTTCTCTGTTCTCATTTCAGAATAAAAAAAATTCGTTAGTGACTGGCTTGCTTCAGCTAGAATTTTAAATTGATAAAATAAAAAAATAAAAATAATAACAATTTTGAAATCACAGAAATTTAAAAGATAATTCGCTCTAGAAATGATGTTTTTTCTTTCATTTTTTGAAAGAGCACCATAACTTTTAAAGAACATGATAAAAACATTTTATATTTTAATAAAATATGACTGTGAGTGGGGATTTTATTACCATCAAATCCAAACCAAGAGCCATTTTGCCGATGGGAAATAAAATTTTAAAAAAATTACAAATTATTTCTTAAGACAATCAAGGAAAAAAGTAAAACTAGTAAAGATTAGAAATTTTACGATATGAGAATATATAGTCAAACTGGTTTAGAACCTTTAGCAAGAACACAGGTTTAATGGAAGAATTTTTTATAAATTGGCAGCTTAATGTTAAAAAGCTTTAATTGTTATAACTAGCATACTCTTAAACGAATTGCTCCTAAATTTTTCTAAAGACATTTTATTGAAGACGTCAGAAAAAAATTTTGGTGTCTCATTTAAAAAGGATTTAAAATATGCTTTTAATTTTTTCTTATTCATGCATTCTAAAAGAGATTTCACTATTGCTATTAAAACAAGTCGCTATTAACAAACAATTGCTATTATGTTGTTAAAACAAGTTTTGTTTTAACAACTCTGATTTTCTTGAACAAAATGCAAATCTTAATAATTCAAAGAGGCGACTTCAAATAAGCTGATTAATTAGTAAAGACAATATTTTAAGTATAACATTAAGTACATATATATTAAGTATTCTGTTTAAAAATACACTTTGTCTGAATAAACATGCCCTCATTTCTGACAGATTTTTGGCAACAAAATTATGAGGCAAAAGTATGTTTTGACCAATAAAAAAATAAATAAATAAATAAAAAAACTATTTGGGAAGTTTTAGATCAGTGGTTACCAACTGGAAGTCTTTTTTTTTTGTGGCCCGTGAACAAAAATATATTAGTTTTTATTTTTTTGTGGACAATTTTCGTAAAAAAATCTTTATGGGTTTAAAATACTTTTCTTTCATTAAAAAAAGCCTTATTTCTTTTTGTTTTTGGGATATTTAACATACCAACGTTGCAGAAAAAAAAATTTCTCAGGTAAAACTCTACTTCGTATTTTGATTTGTAATTCAATACTTTTGCTTTGTACAACTTGATAAAAATCTGACAATGTTCCTTCAAACATAAAAGAGTCGTAAATTTTTGATAAAGTTGTGGCCCGACATTTGACTGGTGTTTTTAATAGGGGGCCCCCGGCCTCATGTAAGTTGGAAACCCCTGGTTTAGATGCACAACCACATTGATCAAATATTATTTTTACTTTCTCATAATTTTAAAAATGCCCATTCTCAAAAAGAACATATAGAGTACACGAATTTTTCAAACAATAAGTTTTTCACTGGAGGAAATAAGAAAAAAAAAGTTTCTCCCTCTTGAATAAAAATAGACAATCTCAGAAAAGTCAACTGGTTTTGTCCCATGAAGGGAAAGCAAAGTTAAGTCAGGTGAATGAAGAAGGGACATATAGCAGGTAAGGGAGGGCTTTATATAAAACTCTGTCCAGTTAAAATAAGCATTTCAAATAATGAACACTAAAATATTACAGTGAATTAACTTAAAAATTAAATTGTACATATTAAGACACTCAGAAAACGAAAGAGTTTAAATTTTATTTCGATAGACTCTGGAACTCAACCTGTGTCAATGCAAGAAATTTTTTTTTAGATATTTTAATTGAGTTTAATGTAAATATACACTGGCCAATAAGAAATAAAAATGATAGCACAGCAATTTAAAAACCTTCCAAAAACTATTTACTTTGCAACAAAACAAGTTTTAAATAGTTACCAAATATTTAATTTTCATTTTAGACGGAAATATGTCATTAAGGATTGAAGAATAAAAAATGAAAATGTTTCCAAATATCCCCCTCCCCCCCAAAAAAACAATCAATCTTTTATCAACAATAATTTTTGATGAAAAACTCAGGTGGGCTCAGTTTTTCCAAACCCTGGAAGGAGTAAAGAACACACAGTCCTTTTTAATACAATTTAATATAACAAAAAAGATAATACACTAAATATTTTAATCTATATAACACTAAAAATTTAAATAAAAATAATTCCAAGAACTACTTACTCGATTAATCTTTAGTAGAATGCATGGACGACCCACATCGAATCCAAAGTTATTTGCTTTAGAACAAAACTGGCTAATATCTTCCAAATGAAAATTGCAAACATGTGGTTCAGGATAGTGGCTGGAAAAGTCGCATGAGCGTACATGTTCTCCAAATTGACGACCTCCAGTGTAGGCTGCAAAGGAAAACAATCATTGCTTAGATTTAGGGACAAAAGAAACCTACTCTAATTACTTCTCTCTTTTTAAAACCATTCAACTCAACACAAAATGCATTTGTGGCATAACTACCACTACAAATATTAAATACCAATTCACTAGTATATAAGACATGTTAACTTGATTCTATCTTGAGGTAGTACCTTTTGATAGATGAAGTTCGACATAGTCTAACAATTAATTACCCACAATGGTGACCTGCGGACGTGATATGAACTTGCCAACATTGATTGATGGTTCACATTAAAACAGTTGATTTGCTTAAAAACTATATTGCTCAAAGAAGAAGAAAAAATTCGGTGAAGTAAATAAAGCCTCCCGGTAGTAAACAATATTGGGAGAAAAAAAATGAGCAAAATATTATATACAAAAATAAAAAAAATGAAGAAAAAATATGAATAAAATTGGTATAAATAAATAGCATGAATCAACTAGTGGCATTCATTCATCGAATTCTATCACTAATTCTGGATAAAATGTGGCGTAACTACCACTACAAATATTAAATACCAATTCACAAGTATATAAGACATGTTAACTTGATTCTATCTTGAGGTACCTTTTGATAGATGAAGTTTGACATGGTCGATAATAAAATCCCCAAATATTGAACTCTAAACCATGGCAGCTCACTTTTTAAGCAAAACCAATTTTTTTTAACATTTCCACAGAGAATAATGTGAATTGCTAATAAGCTGTGTTTACAAAAAAAAATACTGTATAATTTTTTCTTAATTGAACATGTGATAATTTTTTTTATTTATTATGGATAATATTCTCGCATTTTGTTTTTTCAAATTATTAAATTTTGTAAATAATTATCACAATAAAAAAAAGTAATTAAAAATTATAAAATCCGTAGTAGTAATAGCAACAAAAAAAAAATAATAAAAATCGATGATGAAACCACGCGAATCGGACTCCTCGAACGCGTGTTTTGTTTCAAGATTAGGTTGCTGTAATAAATAATATCGTATTAAAAATATCGAATTTAAAAATAAATCGCAATAAGAGCAAAAAATTCTCTAGAATTATCTAACCGTAAAAAGTAAATGCTCAAATGCACGATTGGAATTTTCGATATTGTTTGAAATACATCGGGTTATTTAAAATCCACTTGAAAATCAATAACTGCAGAAAATACAATCGAAACATTACATTGACTTACAATACCATCGTCGTGAATTGAGCGCATGAAAAAGTGATTCTCTAAATACATAGTTCAAATACGTGTACATTTTTATAGAAAAGAAAAGTGATTTTTTTTTTTTTACTTTTCAAAAAAAAAAAAAATGTTTCTGCAAGAACATTGTAGCATTCTGCGACAATGTCGCTGCGATTGTGCCATGGGGACCCTGCATATATTAAGGGTGCACAACCTTTGTCCGAAAAGGGGGTCTAGAAAAACTGCTTAAGCTTTCAGTGGCCACAATAAATTTAGTTTATATATCAAAGTTAATCACTTAAAAAAACTTAATTTTCTTTATTTACTTATATCAGGTTTTCTGTTGTTGTTGTGTTTTAGATATAGTTTAACTACTCAAATTTCATAAATAAATTTTTAAGATGAGTAATATGAAAAATAAATCAGAACAAAAGATTTATAACTATATTACTGCATTATAAATCATTTTGTAGCAATACATCACACATAAAATGCATGATTTAAACTTACTAAAATAGTTATATAATTATATTTTGATTCTTTTGAATGATACTTGTCATACACCTTTTCCTACCACAACTGACCATTTGACTGGGAGAACACGTTATTGCTTTAAAGGTTAACGAATCAGAAATTACAATGTTAAGCGTGTTCAATGTATTGCCTTTGATTAGTTGCATATTTCTGCAAAAACTGCTGCATAGTTAGTTTTGGTAAGCAGAAAGATTCTTCTGAACGCAAGACATGCCAAATTGTAACGGCAATAAAACCATCAAATTTTGCTCTAAATGTGAAAAATATGTTTGCAGAAAATGTATGGTGACCTGGGGTGATTCCTGATCAAAAATGCAAACATCTATTTTGGGAAAAAGCTATTCAAGGTAGAATTTTAACATATACTGGAAGTTTGAGTCTATGTGAGATGAGTCCCATGCCACCTTCTTTTGTTTGAAAATCTAATTAGAATTTAAAAGATTTTAAATTTTTAGTGATCAGGAATTACCCCTGGTCTTGATCATTTCTGGGGTAATTACTGATCCCCAGTTTTTATTGTAAAGGGGCTGTTTAAAAATAATTATATAATAGTAATTAACAAATAAGACATCAAGATTAAACAAATAAACCAAAAAGATATGTTTAACCAGATAATAAAACGATTTATTTAAAAGCAAGAAGAAAGATTAACACTTTAAATTTTCCAAAAATCTTTGCATCATGCCATACATTTGAGGCAATCAGCCAACTCATTCTCATGTTCTGCTGAAATATGAGAGAGTTCCCACATGGGTTACTTTTGCTGGATTTTTTAACTTCATTAACGGAAAGTGTAAAGTTAAGTAAGGTATGTCAACAGTTCTGGCAGCAGCTCTTAAACTGAAATTTTCATTTTCAATCATTAACCCACTGACGGGTCTGCACGTAAAAAGTCACATTTTAACCTGCAGTCTTCTCTACATAGCAAAACCGGTTTTCCCATGTTAAAAGATAGTTGAATTGTGTATAAGGGAGAAACATTCTCCCAATTTTACCCATTTGCTTAACCGCCAGTGGGTTAAAAGAAATTCACTAATTTTGCTTTCTAGAAGTTTAGTATCCTTTTTAGGCTTATAATTTCTTACCATATTCTCACATATATATATATCTACACTATTTATAAACTTAAAATATTATTCTAACAATTTACACACATAAAATTAAGATAGAAGCAAGGTAAGACAAACCAGAAATGGTGCTAATCAGAATACAGTCTTGTACAAGTTAAAAAAAATTTGTGATGACAGTTAAAATATATTTTATAGTTGTTCCACTTGATAAATATGAACTGTTATCTAAGAAAAGACAATTAGCTATTTTATATACTATTTATAAGAAGAAATGACAATTATCAGGAATTACCCCAGTGATTAATAAATACCCCATCTGTAGGGGGCAACATTTGATACAGTTTCTTATAATCAATTATAATGTTTACAGTAGATGTGAAACAATTAAACAAAAGCTTACACTACTTTTATATCAAAGAAAAAGAAAGTAACTCAAAATATTTATTATTAAGAGAAGGAGGGGGATCTTTGCAGAAATGTGCACATTTTGAAACCCATTTTGAAATGGAAAATATAGAAAGCAGTTTAAAAGATACTTATTTTGTTGATGATTAAACAAAACATGATTAAACAAAAAACTATTATTAAGTAAATATAATTATACTTTAGTAAAGTGTACCGTGAATTACCCCGGGTCACCCTACAATGGAAACACCCTGTAAATTTAAAAAATGCATTGAGCAATGAATTAAGAATTCTTCTTCTTTGTGTTTGTAATACATAAAAAATTGGCAACATACAATTTTGTTTAATTATAATTGTTTCCGTCCTAACATCCATATTTCATACATTCAATCAAGGACATAAAGTTCGGTCAATTGACCGGATATGTCAGAAATAGGTATATATTAAATGCTGCTATGCTTAGTGTTAAAGAATTTCTCACACAAAATTCTTCCATCAAACATAACTCTTCTAAGAATAAATGTTATTTAAGTCACCAATAGCATGAACCGAATGGTTGTAAAAACTGTAGGATAGTAATGATGCTAGAGAAAAGTTAATCGCAGTACAAAAATATTTTTAAATTACAGTGAAATGTAAAAAACTTTTAATGCGAATGGTAATATAAAACTTTGTTTTCATGATCCATTTAATTTTTATACACAGTAAGACAAAAATTCTAATAAGGAATAGTAATGATATCTTGATATTAATATTTTGCCTAATACAAAAAAAAAATCACATGAAAATTTTTCTTTCTGATGTTAACGTTGGACATTTCTAGTTAATGACCCATATATGTACACTAGGGGTGCACAACCTGTGGCAACAAATGTGGCCCATCAACTATTGATGTGTGGCCCGTGGGAACTTCTGAGCGCAACAAAAAAATTCTTTTAGTTTGTTTTTTGTTTAAACAATATAAATTTTCTTAAATTAAAATAATTAATTCAAATTTATATTACTCNGTGCACAACCTGTGGCAACAAATGCGGCCCATCAACTATTTATGTGTGGCCCGTGGGAACTTCTGAGCGCAACAAAAAAAATCTTTTAGTTTGTTTTTTGTTTAAACAATATACATTTTCTTAAATTAAAATAATTAATTCAAATTTATATTACACTAAAATGCCTATATTTTTTTGCAATTTCATTCTGTATAGTTCTTTTTGGTTAGAATTTATATCCTCTTTAATACTTATGTATATCTATATATATTTGATAAATGAATTATTGTGAAAAATTGAAAAAGTTTTTTGAAAAAAGTGACATGACTAAAGATGCATGCGGCCTTTCGTTAATTTACCTGCTGTGCAAGTGGCCCTTCACTCAAAAAGGTTGTGCACCCTTCCCCTAATGTACACCAATAACAAATTCATAGCCAGACTAAACTTAGTTCCAGGATTGAATCAGTCATAAAATCTAGTTTAAAATCATTAATAATAATACGATGAAAAATTTTTTTCACTCCTCTTATTTTCAAAATAAAGAAGGTTTAATAGGTTAATATATTCATAGTTGTCTTTATATATTTTATTTATAAAGACAAAAAGTGCTGCACTAATTTGATTAGTAAAAGATACTCACGCTGTAGATATTGATCTAAAGAAGTGACCCAATAATCCCACTCTCTTGCACTTCCATGTGTGAACCAGATGAGAGTACTATCAACATTGTCTGGATGAGGAAGGGGACGAAAACCTAAACCTGAAAAAGATATCAAAATTGAAAACCTTCTCAACTTAAATAAAAGAAAAAGGATATTATATAATTGCTCGTCAAAGGTAATTATATATATTTATATTTTTTACAAAAACACAAAAGATTATAGCATCTAAATGGCAATATGCAGAGGTATCAAAAGCAAGTTTCTTGACTGTTATACAGGGTGCATAGCCAAATGGTCATAGCAAGGGTGCAAGAAATAAGCACGTTTTAAGTACTTTTTAATCACTGCAAAAAAAATTTAAGCGCACTATACATTAACAAAATTGGAAATCATTTTTTTAGACTTTACATTATAAAATAATTACATTCTAACAAAGAACTCTTTTCTGGATTATATTAGCCATTATATAATGATCAAGAGATTCTTTGGTTCTATATCAGAGGGTAGAAAATGAAGTCTGAATTTGGGAATAACTTGCAAAATGCAAACAGAGTTGCACATGAGTGTGCAATAATCTCACTGAACCCAGATGAGTATAGGGACATGCGGTTTCGCAAGTATTTAATCAAACTTGCAAAATGATTGGTGCTTTCATACTATGATCCGGAAGTACGCCAAAATGCATTTCTTTGATTGAATTGTGAAAACATTGAATAGACTAACGTGAAAGCTACACTTTTGCATAATATGTGGCAAAAATCGATATGGTAAAGAAAAAAATACAATTTTCGTGAAAGGAAAATTAAGCATTTTTTAAAAATACCAAATAAAAAAACATCTTTAAAGGCTTTTAAAAAACGATAATCGAAAATAAGCACCTTTAAGCACTTTTTTAAAACATTATGCACCATGTGATATACAAACACACCTATTTGTGCATGCACCAGTAAAATATATTTTTGTAATCTAACTGATAAGAAGGAACATGTATATTTCCACTCCTTGATACTGAGCAAATTATAAATGCCATGCATTTTTATTAAGATAAAGTTCGATAACTGATTAAAATATAAAACATATACTACTACTATTGCTATATTTTAGATAAAGAGGAACAAAAAATAATCACCAGGATTTGTACCAATACGACTATCACCAAGCTGCCATCTAGGTGTGTAATAGTCCAATGTTTGATAGAATACTAATAACATAACAGTCCAAAATCCAGCTAATAACAGATAAAATATTACGTAGAAAACTCCTATTTTCACTGAAACAAGAAAAAAAATTTACTTATTAAAATCATTGTATAAAATTCACAACTGCAAAAAAAAACAACATACATAACCATATTTAAATAATTATACTACGTAGGAGTACACTAATTGTGGCCTGCCTGCTGTTGAATTGTGGCAGCACCTGAACATAATTTAAATAATTATTATAACCTTTACTTCTTTTTTGAAGAGAAAAAAAAAAAGTGAGAAATTTTCCATTGTGCATTCGAGTCCCTAATTCTAAACACACCCAAATTGCACAGATTCCATCCTAAATCTGTTAGGTTTTTCGGCAATACCAGTTTTAAAAATCTTAATGCTTCTTTATATATATTTATGACAAATCAAATTTCAAAATAGAGTTATTTTTTTATGAGCCTTATTTACATCTATTTAATTGTAAATTATAGGGATCTTCTGATTTTGTGCTTGGTATTTATTATCGAATTTCCAGGTAGTTTTTTAAATCTCTATTTTTTTTAGTACCATATTAATATGTCTTAAGATTCTTATAGATTTGATCTATATGAATCTATAAGTATAATATAGTCATATACTGTTTCAAATCTATAAGATTCTTATAGATAAAATCTATAAGATTCTTATAGATTTGAAACAGTAAGGAATTTTACTTACCTAGGACCAAATATAACATTATTGACAACAGAATGACTCCTGAAAGAAAAAACAGACTCTATCTGGCAAAAAAGGGCTGTCTATGGACTGAGAAAATTTATTAAATCTAGGTTTCTATCTAGAAAAACAAAGTTCTTAATCTACTAAACTCTTGTCAGGCTAGTCTTTACATATGCTTCTGAAGCTTGGACAAGGACAAAACAAGAAGGAAATTATATCGCAATATTTGAGAGAAAGATTTTGCGGAGTATACTTGGTGGGGTAAATGAAAACAATAACTAGAGAAGGAGATTTAACTCTGAACTGTACATGTACAAGACTAATGAACAACCCGATATTATTAAATACATAAAAATAAGTAGAATGAATTGGATGGCCCATGTGATTTGAATGAGTAATGACAATTCAATAAAAAAGATACTGCTTTTAAACCCACTGGAGCAAGAAAGCGGGGAAGGCCGCAGCTGAGATGGGCTGACTCGGTGGAGTCTGATTTTCTTGCAATTAATTAAAAGAATTGGAGATCAAAGATAAATTGGAAGTCATTATGGAGAAATCTTCAGAGGAGGGCACTGGCCCACATTGGGCTGCCTGGTCAACTACGGTGATGATTAATATGTATCAAGAGTTTCGAATTGCATATTTAAATAATCACTTTAAATTTGTCTTATTCAAGCCAATTTCATCACAAATCCAAGCTATTCTTCTATCGTTTTAAGACAGTTATCGCTCACATTTTTACAAGGTTACACAAATCCTGATATATTTAATAAATATTATTATGGCACTTTGATTGTGCATTAAAACAAGTGCTATATTTGAGTCGATTTTATCACAAATTTAAAGGATTTCTTGCCATCGTTCTTAGGCAATTATTGCTACTTTTTTCTAAATGATTTTGAAAATTCTAATATTTTAATATGATGTTTTTACGCCTTTTGACATCTCAATCACGCATTTTATTAATCCCTTTTGATGTGCTTTATCCAGGGAATCTCCTACATTTTAGATTTTCAAATCCATGACTTTTCTTGAATAATTTCAAGAATTTTTCATGACTTAACAAATGTTACTATTTTTTCCACAAAAACACAATAAAATTAAAAAAAGAATTATAGTAACAATAATTAAAACGATAGGTATAACCAAAACTCTGCATCTTCATATTTATTGATTTTAAACTTAAACAGAGTAAAGAAAGAGTTGCAACAAAAAAATAGCTGGAAAAAAATACAAAAGCAAATAACTAAATACTGTCAAATATATGTAGTTATTTAAAGCTGTTTTATTTCTTCTTTAAAGTAAGTGTAATACAAAGAGCCTAAACTAGAATTTTAAATTGATATAATAAATAAATAAATAAAAAATTTCTGAAATCACAGAAGTTTAAAAGATAATTTGCTCCAGATGTTCTTTCTTTCACTTTTTGGGGATTATAAGTGGGGATTTTGTAACTAATTGAGATATTTGGAAAATGGGGGAAAGGGGGTGGTAAATTTCATGTTATATAAAAAAATTTCTGCGACCAAAACTCATGACTTTCCATGTTTTATTTTTTTAAAAATAGTTAAAATCACGATACTTCATGAAAAATTTTGCTCAATATCAAAATCCCTGACTTTCCAGGTGTGCAGATATCTTGTTTCTATGTGTTAATTTAGACATCAATCGAAGCTATTTATTCACATTTTCCTCCATGGTTAAGAAAGTCTTGAAATATGTTAATTAATACAATTCGAATAAAGCATTTCAACTTACTTTTAAAAACTTCCTTACTTGTCTAGATTTTACTCTCAATTTATTGAAAAATTCTTTTTTGGCAGTTATTGCTACATACGTTCATATGTTTTCAGAAATTCTCTTGATATTTTTTACACTATATTACAACAAAATTTAAATGAGTAAAAAAAAAAAAAAAACTGCTTTTTTTTTATATTCTATAGCTTAAAAAACAGTTTAAGTTTCAACATTCATAAAATCTTTAATAATTCTCTAAATTATTCAATGTCCTAGAGTTAGTATTTAAGTACAACTTACGTTGAACTATAATGTGCTTTATTTTAAATCATTTCAGAAAACCGTAAAATTTCTTTAATTAAAAATTTTTAATATGCATTTTTACACAATAAAAAAAAAATATTATTTTTTTACAAACATTAAAGATAATTTATTTTTTAAATAAAACTTTGTATTATATGATTTGATAAAAATTAAAAAAACATAAGTTTTCCTATTTTTTTGATTCAAAGTTTTAAACATTATTCGTTTATTTAAAAAATATCAGTTAGTATTGTTCAGATTTGATTGAATTTAAGCATTTCCTTTTTTGCATATTCAGGTTAATGACTGATAAAAAGAATTTAGTATCTAAAACAATGTTTCTACAAAAATTATAATAAAGTCAAACCCCGTTATAGTGAACGAAATGCTCTGGCCCGTGCCTTGCTATACACACGTTATTTTTTGTGGATATAGTGAACTAAAAAAGTCAGGAGGTTGGATATTATCAACTTTTTCCTGTCTTCAACAAATTTTTTTTCTTCTTTTTTTTTTAAATAATTTTGAAATGGCTACTTCAAAATAAATACTTATACTAATTTTCAAAACCATCTATAAAGTGGAATGTAGCAATAAGTATTTTTTCTTGTTTGCTTCTTTTATCTATCTTTAATTAGCTAAGCCTTCATTGGTTCAAGTCGCCCTCCATACAAAAACATTAAGGACCGCTATACTGCACATTGCATTTTTTTTATCGTTAGGACTAACAAAAATCATGAAAAATAAATTATAAGAGATTTGCTAATATTAATAAACCGCAATAGAAATAGGAAGACAGAAGGTTTCAAATGCAGCACTAAGTTCCAAGTAACACCCCATTCTACATTTTAACCAAAATATGTTTTATAAAATTGAATAAAAAATTCAGGGCAAAGGACAAACTCAGGAAAAGTATAACTCATAGCTATCACTGTACAAATTTTTTAAAATAATTTTGAAAGTTTAAAACCCATTTAGTGCCTTGATAGCAGTTGACTATAACATGGAATGTTAAGAAACTATCCACATTATGTCAAATAAATTATTAATTGATGAAGACTTTATTCGATAAATGGGACCGATTTTAAAGAATTATTTAATCAAGATTAACACAAAATGCATGAAACAATCAAAAGACAATGTTGATATTGTCACGTATCAGATTAAAATACACAACAGAAATTCTCCTGCTGCAAATATATTTATTGTTCTATAACAGCCGATTTGTAGTAAAGGGCATTTCAGAAATAGAAGTGCCCTTTAACGTTAGAAAGCATGCTAGAGGGCGGGGTTTCGTAAACAAACTTACACCAACTAGATCCGCTGCGTCCACAAAATTCTCTTTTGTCGGGATTCCATATAAAATACATTGCACCTTTATCTTCTGAATCTCTAGAAGATTTCATTATATCACCGTCTTTCTCACCCATTTTGAATACACTTCTATAGACTTCTTCGAACTAATCGATCGAAAAGTCAACGACAAACATGAAAGAAGCCCGGATGTGCTTACTGGTGGTAGCACACCTTTGGACAAGCTTGCAGCTTTCAATGAAAAGAAAAACTTATACTCGGTAACCATTCTCTTTACGCATTGTCTGGATGCTGGATATGATTGAGATCTCGGCGCGCCACTATCTGATTCATCCTGTTCTAATAGACATGAGCTAAAAAGACATATACATCTAAAACAAGCCATAAATTAAATAAAGAGAGGTGCTAGAAAAAACTCCATTGTCAAGTTTTATGATTTAGAGCACAAATAAATTGTTAAAAGTTAAAATTACTAGACGAATTTGAAATGAACAACAAAGTTGAAAAATGAACATGAGCAGAAAATAAATTTAAATTAATACATTTAAATTAAAAATAATAAATTATTTTCAATTATTTACACGGGGATAGGTTCACCACTCGTACGTGTTTTTCTGTTAGCACAGTGACCCGGCCGTCCCTGTGATCACCACTCGTACCAGGTTTGCTCGCTGTGAGAATTAGCAGGTATGTGGCTCGCCCAGATCGGACTATCTTCCGCGTTGCTCCTTCACCGGGTTCGCCATATCCTGGTGTTGAGATCTGTGTGTGTTTGTGTTGTTATGGTGTTAAAATTTTATAATATTTTGATATAATACAGTCGGAGCTCAGGAAGGCGGTGACTGGGCTATAATTAATATAATCATTAGTTCTAGATTGAGAAGTAGATTAAATTCTGACGCTTAGTGACATCGTTGTAGAACTTAGCATTCAATTTTGCTATGAATTCATTTATATTTTCGATTTTGAGATCTTTTCTTAGTGAGGCGTTGCTAATGGCCCATGGGGCCCCTAGCATCATCCTGATAATTGTTCCCTTCGTATTAGAGAGTCTATTCTTTTGGTTGTTGCCAGAGCCGTTTTTAAGGATGGGCCCAGTGGGCCCTGGCCCAGGGCCCCGAGTTCTGATGGGGCCCCCTAAAAGACTAAAATCTCATTGCATTAATTGTTTTTTTTTTTTTTAATTCTAACTCATTTATCTCATTCACTCACTACTAAAGAGGGCCCCCAGATCCCACTTTTTTTCTTCTTTTACATAGTCAGATGCTTTTCAAAATCTAACCGAAGTGTTTACAAATATAAAATANATCCTTAATTTCCTTTTAAAAAAAATGTGTCCTTAATTATTAAACATCTCAATAGATGTTCTGAAAGTTTTATGTTTTTTTTTCAAATATTTGTTGAAATTAACAGGAAGAAAAATTAGCTATTGAAAGCATTCGATATGCGAGAGAAATATATTAAAAGCTCCTATCTCACTACTCCCTCCTCATCGCTACATCACACTCTTATGTTTTTCACAAAAACAATCCTAGTATTTTATTACGATTTAACGATTTTCCATGTTAAGACAATTTTCATCCCTTGTTTGTAAAAAAAAAAAAATGCATAACTTTTAAAAAATGTTTCTTTTTTCACTTAAGTACAGGAACTACTAAAACTATTACCAATTGTATATCTGCGAATCCATGGGGATCTTGTACAGTAGGCAAAAAAATTATATCACTCTGAATAACTTTCGTCCTAATGATGTAATTTTTGATCATAAAGGTTCCTAGGGGTGACCTCAAATATGAAAATTACTTAGGGCTAACTATTAATTAAGTTGCGAAATCGGACATAAAAACGTACTTTCCTTGAATAAACATGTATTTTTTTTTACATATTAAGATTTTTAACCCTCAAAATATAAGGGGTAGCCGCAATCTGGGAAATACGGTCCCCATAGTTTGGTCAGGAGAGCGATCCAAAGTTCGAACCCCTTAATGCTAATTTCACTTTTTGCGTTTTAGTTATACTTTCAAAACTAATTAAGCACTAATTGTACTCATTTATAAAACACATTTACTCAAAGATAATTTGACAACTGCAAAAAAATTTTTTTACTGACTATTTAATTTCATTGCGGATTTAAAAATTTTGAATTATGAGGTATAAATTTTTTTATACCATATTAATCTACGTATTTTTCTATTGAAAAATCTTAAGTTCCAGGAGTTTTTATTGGATAGAAGCCTAGAAAAATTAAAATTAATTATTTTAAAAGAAATAATTTATTGACAATGAAGATATTTAAATGGGACGATAAATGTTTAAATGTGTTAACTTACGAGGAACTTGACTTACGCGAGTGCTGAGTAAAATTTCATTCATATTTTTTATTTATTTAATCTTATGATACGTTGTTGTTGCAGTTCATTTACGTCGCATTAGAGCTGCACAATGGGTTATTGGAGCGACGGTCTGGGAAACATCCCTGAGGATGATCCGAAGACAATTTTGATTTTCTGCAGAGGGGATGGCACCCGCGCTTCGATAGCCCAACGACCTGCACGCGAAGTCGAGCACTTTACGGTAGAACAGTTTAAAGAGGACCAATACCGCACACCCTCGGTCCTTACATCAGACTGATCCAAGTGGTCACCCACCCGCACACTGACCGTAGTCAGTGATGCTTGACTTCGGTGATCTGCTGGGAATCGTGTCTTAACGATCAGTCCTCTGCGGGACTATCTTACGATGCACATCCAGGCTTGTATGCTCAATGCATAGCACGGTTCATAAATTGAAGCACAGACAACCATTATTCGAACGAGCTACCTAGATGCTGGCCGGTAGGATTATTATCATCATCTTCAAAATTTATCTGAACTCTTGAAGCCGTTTACGGCCCTTCACGGGCAAGACCGCTGAATCATAGTAGACATTTCATACATCATTTTATTGTTGTGCCCCGCAGTGAACTGATCGTATCATTAAGGCACGATTCCCCGTAGAATACAGAAAGTCAAACATTAGTGGCTGCAGTCAGTGTGTAGGTGGGTGACCACTTTGATCAGTCTACGAAGTAACCGAGGATGTGCGGTGTTGGTTCTCATTAAACTGTTCTACCTTAAAGTGTTCCACTTCACGTGCAGGTCGTCCGGCTACAGAAGCGGGGGTGCCATCCTCTCTGCAGAGGATCAAAATTATGATGACATGTCTTCGGATCAACCTCATGAGGTTGACAAGAATGTTTTCCAGACCGTCGCTAGTAGCCCATTGTGCAGCTCTAGTACGACGTAAATAAACTACAGCAACAGCTTATTGTTGCACATTAATATGCAGTCTTGTATGCTCATAAAGAAAGATATCTTTCAATTATTTTATAAGTTGAAGGACTGATAGTACAAATCAGAGAAGAACATCACGAAAATATATCCAGGTCCGCTACTTCCACTAAAGCGTCAGAAGAACGAGTGCGCTCTGCTAGGATGGCCACATATATATTCCTTTATTGGTTTATTGGTACAATATACATTTGCAGGCTTGTGTGCTCAATTAAGGCTTACAAACCTCTGACAAGTAGAAGGACAGATAGCACAATACAGAGAAGGACATCACAAGGAATACATCCAAGGGTACGGCAGGATTCGAACCTGCCACCTCCAAACTTAACAGTTGTCGTTGTTGTTTAATTGAAAATTAAACAAATTAACCATCCTTTTTTTCAAGCAGTTTGTTAAAAAATTAACAAACTACTACAAGATTTTACTTATTAATTATCCTGTCCAATAAAACTCGATAGCAGTTATCTTTAGTTTTTTAAAATTCAAATTTGGTAATGATCGGCTCTTAGCAAAATATTTTTCTTTACTTTTTCTTGCCGTTCCTAAACTGGGCTCAGGGTTCAATGCAATGTTTATAATGTATATTTTAAGTAATATTTGTAATATATCACAGTTTCGTTTTTGGTTTGGTGTTTAAGACAATTGAGTGACAAGCTGCTAGGTTGCAACTGTGTCAGAGCTGTATTTACATGTTTGTCTTCTAGAAAAAATTATATAGCAAATCTGATCTAAGAATTGGAATAATAATATAGATCTAGATTACATGCCACCTGATAGTATCTGTTAGAATGATACGAATTATGTTAATGTAAGCAATATCGCTGGTGATAAAAATATTTACCTAGACAATGTAAAAATCCTGGAGAAGAAAGTATCGGAAACAGCTTAATGTGGTTAGATTAGCAATAAAGGAAGGTAAGTTTTTGAAAAAATTTAGAATATTTTATGTAGATAAAGAATCTGATCTTTCAATGCATTTTGATAATAAAACTTTAACAAGCAGGAAAATTTAATAAACTATAACACCTGCTGCATTAAGAAATGAAAGCATACCGCAGGCACATTTGACAGATTTTGGTATAAATAAAACATATATTGGAGATATTTCTGGATAAATATATATCCAACGTATAAAATCCTGTTAAAATTATTACTTGATTAAATTGTCAAAATAAAAGCGTACATTCCAAAGTACGGATAAACATACATTCCTAAGGCCTTTGGTGAATAAAATTCGTTCAATATTCTCGGTCAAGTTAGTCGGTTGTAATAGTGTTTTAAATGTAGTTGATATCTCTTCATAACTGTATTCCTCAAAGTCAGCAAGTCAATACAATAGCTATGCACTTTATAGATTATAAAAGCGCATATGGCCGTACACAAATTTGTATCGGATCTAACTAACAAGGGAAACTAGGGAAGTGTGACTCGCCAATTTTGATATAAACTAGTGGGATGTATGCCNCTAAAATTATTCCTCATAAGGCATACATCCCACTAGTTTATTTCAAAATTGGCGAGTCACACTTCCCTAGTTTCCCTTGTAAGTGATTAGACTCCGATGTTTTTCAGTTAGAATTATGGGACATTAAAGTCCAGATGGGAGAATGTGTCGTACGAAATGGAAGTGGTAGTCGGTCGTTCTGCTTTCTCTTCGCGTTTCACATTCTTTCAGCCGTTTCGGAACTTCCTCGATTCATTCATGTAAGTTTCTGCAGTGGATTGGTATTCCCGTAGAATTCAGGCAGCTAACGATACTTTTTGTGCAGGCAGTATTTTTTTAATAAGAGAATATGAGTTTTATCACTGTATTAATAATACTGTGGGGAGTTTTTTTTAATACGTTATTGTTACAAATAACGCTTTTTCAGATGCAGCATCTCGATT